TCGATTGAATAAATAAGTGAGGAAGAGTTCTAGGAAAGACATAAAACAATTCTACGACACAACGAAAACATAAGCAGGATAGGCGGGGTGCACATAAAAGAGACCTCAGAACATTATATCAAATAACCGGATGTCAATATAGTTGAAGATTGAACGATCAATTCATGGTTGTTTGCTCGAAACCAACTTCCCCAATTTTCGTGGAGGCATCAATACGACAGTCATCGTCTCATCGGTCGCTGTTCAGAAAGAAGTCAGGAGACAACCATCAGAAGTAATACTGTGATTCATTATTGTAATATTTGTTCACAGACCTTAGTTGTAACAGTGTTTATATGTTGGTGTTACAATAAAGAATCCTCGAGTCGCCAATTGGTGTTTTGGTTTTTGCGTCCGTTATTACTAAGCGTTTCTGAGAAACTTCAAGGAACAGCGTGAGCCCGAGTGCAGCAAGAGCTGAGCATTAACGGTTTACGAGACGTGGCTGACACCGGATCTCTATCGAAGAAAGGCTCAACACGGGGAAGACCTGCGAAAGATAGTTAAAATCCTGACTACCGAGGAGGAGAAACAAATGAAACAATGGGTTGATCACTTCAGAGAACTATTGGGTCGACCATCGCCTTCAACTCACCCAGAAACACCCAGGCACAAAGCTGCCTGCCAGTGGACACCAACCCTTCAACGAAGGCAAAAATCCTGAATTCGATCAAGCTTCTGAAGTCCGGGAAAAACCACGTGGAATTCTTCCAGAAGCACTGAAAACGGCCCCAGAGACTGAGCAGATATGCTCAGACCATTTCCGCGAAGGGTTTGGAAGGAACGAAAGAAGCCTACCGACTAGAAAAAAGCTACCTCATCAAGCTGCCAAAGAAGGGTGACTTGGGCCTCAGAGCTGGCGTGAAATAACGCTTATAATAATTATAATAATAATTTATTTTCATATAAACATAAATTTACATGAAAATGCATGCCATTTTTACAGGCACGATCAAGGATGATATAATGTCAAATCTTAAATTGTCTACAAGTTAATAATGTTTCAACAGTTAAATATTTGATATATATATATACACTCATTGTCTGAACCAGGCCGGATAGTTATTGAATTGTACATTTGTCCTCCAGGTTGAGCGGGAAAATCGACTTCGTTTCGTTTTCATCCCGTGGTTGTAGGCATACGATAACCAACCAATATTGAGGTAAGTACAACTTTTACAAGGGATTGGAAGCTGTTTTAGAAAACTTAAAGTGCTAAGGTGAAACATTAAAGTGTAATAGATTAAGTGAGTGAAATATATCATTAATAAACACATTTATATAGAAAACAGAATGGGGAAGTAATTAATCCTTGTCAATGAAGGTGAGCGTTGAACGTTTGGTTTTATTCTATTTCTGATTACAGCTTGATTCCACACTGTGCTTTTGGTACAGGTATGGAATTTTCATCATGGATATCGGTAGCCTAAATTTTAAAGGCCGACCATAGATATCAGGTGCTAGCCATTGGTTGGCAACTTGAAGGCGCGAATGGTTCGATCGTGTACAAGTTCGACGGAGACGAACAGAAACGAGTAAAAGTACACAATAAATTTGTATAAAACATTTGCTTGTAGACTTGTACTGTTCTCCTTTTTAATTGCCAAACAATATAACTTCCTTCTTACATTACTGGTGTTTTGGAGTTAAAGTCGAAGAAAGTACATAGTATTTATCGGTTCGGAGCGTCTTCGTAACAATAGGAACTTAGGGATAAGTTTCTTGACAACGCTCTTGTCCACACCAAGTAAAATACTAAGTCGCGTCGTCACGGAGAGAATTAAGGACGCATAACAACTCCCCCCATAGCAAGCTGGATTCCGGAGAGACAAATGTTATGCTGATCAAATTGAAAATGACAAAGCACAGAATCGTAGTCAAACCTCGACCTCAATTTAATAGCTTCTGGTAGGGCTTTCAACAGCGCTGGCCGCGACGTAGCTTGGAAACCACTTCAACACTAAGGACTAGTCCAAATCTTAACCAACCTGATTCAACAGCTATATGACAATACCACATGTCAGGTGATCCACTGCAGAAAACTTAGAGACGCCTTTAAAGTTAATAAAGGAGGATGACAAGGCTGCCAGCCTATTATCACGGATTATATCCCTGTGGTGAACTAGATCGTGTGGTACACCGTCAGCGGGGCACGAGAAGAGAGGAATAAGCTGGATCTTCGATAGGAAGACACTAGGAGATCTAGATTTCGTGGATGGTTTCTGCTTGATGTCACACAAATTTGAAAACTTACAGGTGAAAACCAACAAAATGATAGAGATAGACAGCAAAGGCAATACTTCAGGTGAGCATAGAGAGGACAGAGGTGACGGAGATAACCAGCGCCAATCACTACCAACGAAAGACTTCTGAACGGGGTTACTCCCTTCACCTTTCTTGGCAACACCGTCTCGATTACAACCGGACAATACGGATAAGAGCGTCAAAGCCAACCAAAATCAGAAAGGCAGGGCACACCTTTATCAATCTGAAATCATTCGGATAATCTGCTGCACTTCGCAGCATAAACAACGAAACTCGGATTTTCAACATAAATGCTAAGTCAGTCACGTCAGTTCTTCCATATGAGTCAGAAACTTGGCTGGTGCAGCGCGAAAAGCATTTCAAAGAGAACGCCGCGGACTTCCACCAACACCTCCCTTCCCTGCCTCTACATTGAAGATCGAATGGCCGGCTACAAAAAATTAGTGGCGAGGGACTGTGGGAACGAATCAACCAAGGACCCACTGCCCAACAAACATACGAGAAAAATTGGGATAGATCGGTTACATTCTGAGGAAACTGTGGAACGAGATCGCACACCGGACCGTATGTCGAGCAGAATACAGATAGGAAACAACGAGTTGGACGTGTATCTAATGGTTGCATGGAGGAGATAAGAGACTGTGGGCAGTCTCGGGGGCAGCTAAAGAGGACAGCAGAAAACATAACAAAGTGGGGAGTTTCTGTTAAAGCCTTATGTTCCACTCGGAACCCAAGGGAACGGTAATAATAAGGGCATGCCCCTAGGAAGGCCGGGCGGTTAATATCTCGCTAGTCTTGAAATGGCCTGGACATTCATTTCGTCCTCCAGTAGACAGCTAAACAGCAGTGTGGTTATTGCTGGCGTCGGCCACAAAGACTTCACCATTTTAATAAGAGAAAATCCCACAGGGCACACCTTGAACAAACCTAACAATTGTACCATTCCTTCTCCCATCTTCAAGGGTGCGGATTGGCGAAACGCCACTACTTAGAGACCAGTAAAAATACTCCCAGTGGTATCAAAAGTACTGGGAAGCCTGATTGATGATCACATCAGGCGCACTTTGACAGGACGAACACTCTCCAGGAAGCAAAACATGGTTTCAGAAGAGGTAGATCCTGTGCAAAATATCTTCTGCCAGCTTGGAATGTTAGGATACCATTCTGAAATATGAGTGTTCCAGTCCATGTAATCATCCTCAACTTTGCAACTGTCTTCGACACGGTTCACCGTGACCCTATCCTTCACAATATAAATCAGGAGGGTATCAGTGCCCCACTTCTGTCATGGTTGTAGGAGCGCCTACTCTAAGGTGGATTCTGCTCCAAGATCAATTGTGTCTGATCATCCTGGCAAGGTTCGGCATCAGGAGTACCACACGGTCATGTCCTAGGGCCGTTGATGTGTCGGATTTCTATCACTGATATACCGTGCCATATAGTCCGCCTGGTTTTTCTATACGCTGACGACGCAGTGATCTGGAGACCAATACATTACTCAGAAGACTGAGCGATGGTGAATTGTATGACTTTAAAGTAGGGTAACTATGGCCTGTAGGCTGCAGGATGCAAGTTAGTGATATAAGTATAAAACTTGGGTACTGTGGAAGAGTATAACTCCATTATGGATAAGATTTTATTTTGATAAATCACAGTGTTGTTCAGTACCTTGAAGTGCGAAATACCAGTGCTCCACCGCCAACCTTTAGGGTAGAGTCCAAAGATAAAAGGGGTGACAAAAAGGTTGATGGATGTATGAAATAAGCCACATGATGAACGGATGAAGAAGTTAGGTCTTTTGACAAATAGCTACCGCCGGCTTAGGAATGACTTAACTACTGCCTATAAGACGACAAGCGACCAGAGTCACCTAAACAAGGGTATTATGCCATTAAGTACGTATGAATCCTTCCTTATATGAATCCACGAATGACAGCTCACCTGGGAGCAGAGACTCGAGTGTGCTCCCACTTCTTTCCACTTTGAGTTTGCTGCCCCTTGAACTCCCCACCAGCGGATGTGGCCACTGCGCCATTCGTGGACAACTTTATTTTTTATTTTTTTATTTTTTTTATTTTTGATTTACAGCTTGATTCCACACTGTATTTTCGGTACAAGTATGGAATTTTCAGCATGGATATCGGTAGCCCAAATTCTGCAGGCCGACCATAGATATCAGATGAGCGGGACTGGACAATCACGCAGCGACACGAGGACTGTGTCTAAACGGTCTGACCCCTTAAAATTTCATGTGCCATTGATGAACATACATCTAAAATCATCTTTTTAATCCTTTACATTTCCCTTGTCTTGCTTTTCTGACTACTCCATCTGTCAACTCCCTTTTATTATTACAGATATATATGTATTAGTTTCCGAATTCGGCAGCCGCTTATGTGTCTGCCGTTTTTATTTTTAAGTCTGCATAATCCACACTAATTATATCTATTATTATTAAGCGGTTTTAACACACTGCATACTACGAAAACACATAATCAATCCCACTGTTGCTCCTTTTTAGGGTCATCCAAAGATACGACAGTCGAGGGGTGGGACGGACTACTTAGAAGTTAACCAAAGACCAGGAACCTTTACCTCATAACTGATAGGCGAGCAGGAAGAAGTCAGTTTGGTTTACAATATTGGATATTGAGAGAAAGATTGTGGGCAAATCTGTTTTTGCGTTACTTTTCAGCATGGATAATGCGGAAGAATTTCATCAGTTAAATCTCGATCAAAGGATTTTAAAAGTAATAAAACAACAATATATTGTATAATATATTCAGGCTATTGCTGATTTGAACTGGAAAAAACCAACAGATATTCAACAGGCTGTAATACCCCTAATATTTGCTAAAAAGAGCATTATTGTCCATGCAAAGACTGGCTCTGGGAAAACAGCAGCCTTTGCTATACCGATTCTACATGAGTTATTGCAGGAAAAACAGGTAATTTTGGAAGGCCATTAATATATTTTAAGTTTGCTGCATGTCAAGCTACTTTTGTTGTCATCCTTACACCAACAAAGGAGTTATGCTCACAAGTTGCTAACAATATCAGAAGCCTTTGCAAATATGCTGCTAAGAGCATTTCATCATTAGATATATCTCAGTCGCACGACATCGACCAAATAAAGTAACTAAATCGTGTAACTAATTTCCATTCAGGCCTCTTATTCTCGAAAATCCAGACATCATAATTGGGACACCATCCCGGTTGATGCAAGTCTTACGTTCGGGTTTTTTGTCGCTGAAGGACCTACGTTGCGTTGTCGTAGATGAAGCTGACCTTATCTTTACATTTGGTTATGAAGCTGAGATTCGTGATCTGAAATCATATCTACCCCAAAACATCCAAGTGAGCCATTGTTATTAACTAGTGACCTGGTATTTCAGTTTTCGACCTGATTTTCTGTAGTTTTTAGTCTATAATTAGCAATTTATTAAACACTTAATTTTATCGCGCTTATATTTCTATTTGACAATGGCCGCAACGATCACTCATCTAGTACTTCAATGTTATTAAGTTCTGTTACTATTATTATTTTTATTAACTACAAGCCTATAAAAGCAGCTGAATTGTACTCCTTGTAGTCTGTTTCGGCGATTAGTCTAGACTGACGAGATCTTAAATTAGTTCCCATGACAAATGACTAAGTAAAAATTTTGGTGCTGAGTGCTTGTCTGGTGTTCACTCTCGGCACTTCCAGAACACCTAGTAGACAACTTAGAACGTACAATGGGTGCTTCAATGTCTAGAAGGCTTAGTTAAAAGAGGGATGGAGAATACTATGAGGAATCTGTAATGAACAGGTAGGGTAAAATCTGGACACTGGAGAGTATAATTCCACTATGGATAAAACTTTATTTTGATAATATCATACAGTATTGTCATACAGTAATATTTACTGATGACCGCGTTTCGAGCACAATTTATTACTGCTCATAACCATATCAAGGCACCACTCACACAACTCGCTTCGTTTATATACATGAGTGAAAATTGATTAAACACTTGATAAAATCAATAAAATACATGCATAAAACAGAAAGGAAAATAAAGTACATTTGGAAACAATCTTAGTGTTGTCAATAAAATACAACAGGATGGGAAATAAAATGAGTGTTATTAGTCAATAAGATGGGAGATGATGTGTTCATTTTAGTAATATAAATAACTTGTTAGTGTCATAATGTAGATTGAATACATACATTTTAACATTATTTATTATCCTCTGATTTAACTGGCGGTAATAATATGTTTCATATCTCTGGTGTTTGCGTTGAGTCACTTCTATTGCATGTGTTGTGTTGGGTGTAGACCTGATGAAACACGTAGAATTCAGTAATCGATTTCTCTTTCTCTCCACCTACTTATATTACGTTTTAGAATTTTGACTATATCCCATCCACCCTATTGTGTGGTTGTGTTAATTCGTGCATGGAAAGATCGATCTCTGAATCCTTGTTCATCAAGTCTACACCCAACACATGCAATACAAGTGAATCAACGCAAATACCAGAGATATGGAAGATATTATTACAACTGGTCAAATGTATTCAATTCACATTATGATCAAGCAGACTTTAGACCAGGTAGAGGGTGCATAGATCATATCCTCACTCTTCGACAGATTCTAGAACATAGACACACTTTTCGGCGTCCAATAATTGCCATATTTCTTGACTTGAAGGCGGCCTTCGACTTCGTGGATAGAAAAGTACTATGGCAATGTTTGACTGTGAAGGGAGTGCCAAGAAAGTACTTGCACTAATCAAGACACTCTATTCAAACTCACGTAGTCGTGTAAGGGCTTATGGGGAATTGTCATCTGAATTGATAACAACCAGTGGTGTCCGACAGGGATGTCCACTTTCCCCATTTCTGTTTAACTTCACCATAGATATGCTGATGGAAGTATCCTTAACTGAACTTAACGACTTGGGAATCGATTTGTTACCAGGGAATAGTCTTATGGACTTAGAATATGCAGATGACATAGTCCTGTTAGGAGAGGATGCTGACAGAATGCAGAGTCTTCTGAACACTTTGAGCAGTAATCTTCGTATGTTTGGCATGTGACTCGCCCCTACAAAACGTAAGATGCTGCTACAGGACTGGACCACGTCAACTCCTAACTTAGTGATAGGGAGTGAAGTGATAGAACATGTTGACCACTTCACCTATTTGGGAAGTTGTATCAGCACCAACGGACTGATTAGTGACGAAATCTCACCACGGATCCAAAAAGCTCGAGCTGCTTTCACTGACTTACACCATCTCTGGTGTAGGCATGACATCCGGCTGGCTATCAACCAAGGGACGTGTGTACTGCTCATCAGTTCGCTCCGTCCTTGTCTATGACTGAAACATGGCCAATACGCGTTGAAGACATGAAAAGGTTGACTGCTTTCCATCATGGATGTCTGCGATCTCTTTCTCACGTTAGGTGGTTTAATAAGGTAAGTAATGTTGACGTTAGGCGTACAGTGTTGGGCAAGGAGGGGAAATCAATCGACGAGGCTATAAAGTTACATAGATTGACATGGCTAGGTCACGTGGTGCGCATGCCTAACCATCGCCTCTCCCGACAGGCGGGCATTACTAGCTGATATAGGTGGAGGTTGGAAAAGAGTAAGTGGTGGCCAAACAAAAACATGGCCTCATCAATCCATGCAATCCTTGACAGTTAAACTGAGTCGGTAAGGTAGGGAGATGCAGACTTCCGGGTTGGGGCCCTCGGGACTCTAGGAATCAATGGCTGGAGACAATAGATGACATGGCTCAAAATCGTTGTCAATGGCCAGCGCAGATGTATTCAGTCTCTGTAATCTTTCATATTCCTTTTTACCATTACCCGTTCTTTGTCACTCTTATACCTGTCAAACTCTATTGATTTTCTTCACTCATCTTCTTGTCTACTTTTGTGTGGTATTTGAAACGTGGCAACTGGAACTGCTGTACTTCGGTGCCAAGTTCTATGTTGAGTCCAGACAGAAAGACAGAATTCACATTATGACAATCTAACGAGTTATTTATTTATTTATATCACTTTAAAAACATCTTATTTCCCATCTTATTGTATTTGATTGATAACACTAATATTCTGAATGTACTTTATCCTATACTGATTTTATTGAAACGTCTATTCATCAATTTCACTGATGTATATAAATGAAGCAAGAAAGTTGTGTGAGTGGTGCCTTGATATGATTATGAGCAGTAGTAATAAATTGTGCTCGAAAGGCGCTCATCAGTAAATATTACTGTATAACGCTGTATAACTTTATCAGAATATATTATATCTACAATGGAATGAATATATGATAGTATAGTAAATTTTTAAGGTGAAAATTGTACGGCCTATTATATAAGTCTATAACATAAAGTGCATCTTTTTAAAGGCTATTCTAATGTCCGCAACTCTGGAGGATACATCAAAGGTTATAAGAAGATATCTAGTGAAGAAAGCTGACTGGGTACGTGTTGAGCTGCCTGATGAGTCTTTCCTACCTGGAGACAATCAGCTTACACAGTATATAATTAGGTAAGCTACCATTTGATCAGTTATCTTGTCTTAATTCACCGTCCTTTAACTTTACCTACCCCATTAGTCGTAGTGATCACTGTAAGAACTGTCTGAAACAGGTTGGGATAAAGACGTTGGTTCCACCTACTTTTGTAGCTAAGTGTAAAAATGAGTTAGACTCAGGTTTAGTCACAGATATTGTACAAAGTATAGACAAATTATAAAATGACTTGGCTCACTAAACGCTTGAGATTTGAGAAGACTTCAGTAGGCTTCTCACAACTTCTTAATGGAGATCGATTCATTTGTGGGATGGTGGACATTATTCAGTATAAGATCAAATAACACGTATGTAGTGATCATGAGGTATATTAATTAGAAGCTGTGCATCAGTAACGGTAGGAAACCCGTCGGTGTCACCAGCAGTCAAACGTCTAGTTCCAATAAAACTGTAACAACAGAAGACAAGAGCAAGGCAACATCGTTTATTTAGGAAATCAATAGATATTTATAGATTTTCATGTACATTAATATAAGCAAAGAAACAGTTTTCTGATTGGTGGTTTCTCGCTGAACGTTGATCTTTCATCTCTTTGTGACCGTTTCTTGAAGTTCAGATTATCTATCTGCAAATTGTATCCGCCTACGCAAAGTCTGCTTTAATTGATTGTTGAGTCAGTCTTTGTTTTTATTTTTCGCATGACCAATTTTGGGGAGGTAAACATTGACGTAAATTGCGGTCTACCAATTTTGGCTAGCAGCCAGCTCTCACCACAAAACAATGTCTGAGATAGATAATATGTCGAATAACATTCTGCATGGACACTTGGAATACTCCAAGGATTAATCTGGCCTCTACAGCGCTAACTTAATCTAACTTAAATCACAATGCTTCATGTCAGGTTAGCATAGATCCATTAAACGAAGGAGAGCCCTGAACGAACTGAAAGTACCGAATCCCTATACGGCACTTGTCCCAGTAGCTTTTCCTAAACATGACGACAAGACTATTCATGGGACTAACAAGACTGTTTAAAAAGATATGGAAGATCGGCAATCTCTGATTGTATCTACTCGCCCACGCTATGCATATGACTGCTATCATGATGTTGGACTTATCAACCTCACCAAAAGTAATTACAACTGTTATAACACAAGCTTTGCTTTCCACCTGAAACATCTATTTTCAAACATCAGTTCGCATTTCGTTTGTGTCAAAGCCAGAACACAGTCACGCTTAGGTAGTAACTGTCTGTTAGACAGGGGCATTCTAAAAATTAGGGCACACCTCCGATTTTCTGAACATGTGCTGAAAAGCCTACGTCTCAAGGGAACAAACTCTTATAGCAGCGGTATTACCAGACATCTCGACACGGGTCATGAGGTGGAAATCGAGAAATCCTTCAAAATTATCAATAGACAAAGGAGCTCCATTCTCCTCAAGTTTGCCGAAGCAATTTCTATCAAACGCTTGAAACCAGATTTATGTGTTCAGAAAGAATCAGTTAGTAGTCTTTCCTTGCCTTGGTAACTGGATGTCTTTTTTCTCTCATCTGACTGCGTAGTCTTTGTCTTTAACCTCACCCTCTTTTATATTCTGTAATTTTGCTTGTCTCTTGTTTCTATGATTTGAGTTCAACTCAGTACATTGTTACCTAACTTATTAGTCACTATGCATCTAACGCACATCCCATCTTTATTATGTAACTCCCTTACCATTATATGCATACATTTATTTTTTTTTAACTTCAACTGCCTGTGTAAAAACAATATAAGCGCAATTTTCTGAGCACTGTTTACTAATTGTGAAACTTTCTGTCAACTGACAACATGTAAAATTTGCAAGTATGTTAAAACGTTTCTGTATTTAAACCTGAAAATTTATTAAGGCTGTAAGCAGCTGATGAGAAGCCAACGAAATAAATGATGGTACCATGTTATTCTGCACAAATCAATGTTGTTCTCGCTTCATTCAAACGCATTCTAAAAAGTTTTCCATTACTTCAAATGTCCACCGTACAAAAACACCGTAGGTAGAGCAAAGAAATACTACTGTTCGTCACCACTATTTTCAAGCGATAATAGCATTAGACGAGGTAATGCCGCTGTGTGTCAGTGGCACAGCGGTTAGGACTCTCGCCGACCATGCACACGGTCCGGGATTCGATACCCTACCGATGCACACCTGATATCAATGGTCGACCTGCAAAATTTGGGCTATCGATATCACATGTTGAAAATTCCATACTTGTACCAAAAATACGGTGTAGAATCAAGCTATAATCAAAAAATCAAAAGTCCTTATTTTGGCCATTCTTTCAACTATTCTATTGATAGAATTTGAAGACAGCGCTAAAGGATGCATTCGAAGGCAGCCTAAATTTTTTATCTGAAGGACTATCCAGCTGTGAGGAAGCAGATGATATTGGATGGTTGGAGGCAGTCGGCCACAGGAAGCCTTGCTCGACCTAGATTTCGTGCTAGTTGACACTCCCTGGTCAGCAAGGCGTATCTACAACCCTGAAGGAACTCATGTCCCCTCTGAGATTCGAACCCGCGTCACCCAGTGTTGCAGACAATATATAGGCTTCCCAGGCTGCATTTAAACAACGAATTTCCAAGTATGCTACGTGCTTCAAATCATAACGCATAGTATTGTTGTATGACTAGCAGAGTCTACACTAACAATAAGCTTCTTGGAAGAACATTAAAACTTTTCCTGTGCCTAAATCATCAGGTGGCTCAAGCGTTAAGTGTAGGCCATTACTTGCCATTACTTCACTTTTTTTAAATAGTGGAAAAACTGCTTTTACACAGCCCTGAACGAAGAAAATATTTTCCTTATTCGAGTTACAAGTGTCATGAGATGTGCAACACCAGGAAACCATATCCTTAATTCCAAATACTCTCTTCAAGTAGGCGGGAAAATAATTCTGTACAAGTAGACTATGCACGAGGTTAGCTAAAATACCACAAATAACTTAAAAAGCCTTGTTAGAGTCAACTTCATATCCAGTATCGATAAGATGAGCTAGTGTTGACCTACGTATAGTTTTATTCACACCTTTGACAAACCAAAATTAAAGGTATTCAGAAATTCGACGATGAACATGCCTGATCGTACAACCAATGTAATTAGCTCTGCACGAACACTTGAACTGGTTAATACACGCATGGGAGAGGCGAAACATAGCATTTCCGTCTTTGCTTCTTGAACTGAGTATTGGTCAACTAGTGAATAAACAGCCTAACTTAGCTGCTTTGATTGAACACTAGTAACTAGTGTGATATGTCTAGTGCTTTCTTTGGTGCAGACTGAATTCTATCAGTCAGCACTAGGTGACGCGGGTTCTAATCTCAGAAGAGACATGAGTTCCTTCAAGGTTGCAGATATTCCTTGCTGTGACCAATGAGTGCCAACTGGCACGAAACCGCGAGGCACAAGGCTTCCTGTGGCCGATTGCTTCCAGCTATCTAATCTCATAACTTAGCTGCGTTAGAATTCCTCAGACGCTATGATAAAATCTCACTATTAACATGTCGCGTGAATTGTAATTTTAGTAACACTGATATTTTGTCAGCTGTGGGCATCCTCGACTGTTTTACTTGCTAAGTTCATCTGTTTATTCAAAAAAATATTTGTTGGATATCCGTTTCTATTTAGTAGATCACAAATATATTACTGAGTTCTTCTTTCAGTGTTTCACTTGAACAAATAACTACTCTCTAGCCCCAGTGAATTAGACATCTAACCAAATTACGTTTCTATTGTGTAAAGGGACACGAAACTCATATAATCAGCATATTCCCCAAATGATCTAGGTTTCCGACGCAGTCGTCTACGTACTCTCCGCAACAAGCTAAATCTGTGTGTTTGTGGAGTACCCTTGTTTGCTTTGACCACTTCCATTATGTGTTACTGTCTAGCTAGAAACGATTTCCCCCGCCCCGCCCTCTTATGACTATCGTTTGCCTCTATTATTTTATTATCATTAAAATTCTGACTAATCTAACACAGACTTTTTGTGTCTTGCATAATGCTAGTCAGTCATTGTTTTCTTCTTAGCCATTATTGTTTTATAAATTCCTTGATTATAAAATACTGTTTTACTGTACAATAAAGCTTTTCAAAAAATGTATGGCAAAATTAAAATACCTACTATAATGTTAAAATGATAGAGAAGATTTGTAACTCAACTGGATGACTTTGATTTAGTTGTTTGTAGTTTGTTTTTTTTCCCGAACTCTGGTTGACCTATTTGTGAAGCTTTCGTTGTCTTCCTACATAGCATCGCCAATGAACTCAAATAAGTTTGTAATGACAGAAGACAAAGGTCAGGGAACAGATTGTTTACTGAGAAAATCAACAGATATTTGTAGATTTTTATGTACATTATTATTCGTAATTACTAACAGTGAAACAGAGTCTTATGATTGGTTTTTGTTTCTGAAATAAGTATAAAACTTGGGCACTATGCTGGTAGAGTATAACTCCATTATGGATAAGATTTTACTTTGATAAATCACACAGTGGTGTTATACAGTAATATTTACTGATGACGTTTCGAGCACAAACTAATGCTCATAATCATATAATAATAGTAATAATAATAACAGCTTTATTCCAAACAGTATTTGTGGTACAGGTATGGAATTTTCAGCGTGCATTACAATATATATTGCATCTAATTACCTCATAGATTTTATAAGATTTTAAAATCAAAAAGCAACACCCAAAAAAGAAAGATAAATAAAAAAATTAAAAGAACAGTGTTGCGTTTACACATTTTAAACAATGCACCACAGGATATGAAATATAAAATCATTGTGTAATAGAAGATGTGGACAACAGTGTAATAGTAACGAGGAAGGAAAACAAAAACTAATAGGACTATTTGTTAGAGTGCCGCAGTAAGTTGATCGTGTCATACCTAACGGATTTCTCATCACACAACAGCTGTGCCAGATATGATATTGTGGAGTTTTCGTACTTGATAGTCCTATCATTAAGTCTCCTATAGCTGCTTCTAGTTCTACCAGATGAAATGCAAAGAGACAGCTGCGTATAGAGGGGATGCTCGGGGTCTGACAATATTGTATTCGCTAGTTTCTTACATGACATTATATGTCTATCCACAATAGTGTTAACCAGTTGGTTTAACGATATCCCACTTGCCCTACTAACGGCTTTTAGTACCCTTCTCAACATTATAAAGTCTTTCTTAAGTAGTCCAGGAAAGATTAAAGGGGAGCAGTAAAGGGGGATGGGTAGAATACAAGAATTGACAAACTGAGAAAGCAAAAACTGCTTTATACCAGACTGCCTTAACTTCCTAACGTAGGACGTTAAGCGAAACATCTTTCTAGTCTAGTAACTAGCAAGATGTGGGGGGACCGGGAAAGATCAGTGGAAAAACTCAGCCCAAGGTACTTGACATTAGATGTATTTTCAACCTCTATGCCGTCAATGATAGTTAGGTCATGTGAGCTAGCTAGTTGCTGTAGGTCACGTTTATGTCTGAAAGTGAAATTGACTACCTGACATTTAGACGGATTCAGCCTAAGACCGTTTGAAGAGGACCACTGACTAATTTCCGACAGAAAGTTATTTAATTTGGAACAATCTGACTGAGAGTTGACAGGCATAGAAACCGAGAGGTCATCGGCATATTTAACAAAAGTGGCTACATCAGAATGAGGCAAGTCATGTAAGAAAAACGAGAACAGAAAAGGAGAAAGAACAGCACTTTGAGGAACACCAGCTAAAGTAAGTGAGGTAGTGGAGGACTTTCCATTGTAGACGGTGTACTGCTTCCAATCAGAAAAATAGGAATGCAACCACTTATTTGTCTGCCTTTCAGTCTGTGTTGCAGCGAGCTTACTTAGCAAGAGAGACCTAGGAACAGAGTCAAATGCAGATGTGTAATCAAGGAAGCCACAGCGAACGTATTTAGCTCCTTTATCTAAACTAGAGACTATATTATGATGTAGGACAACAGTGGCATCTAAGGTACACCTACTATGTTTATAAGCAAACTGGTTTGGGTTATTGAAAGGTTTTAAAGAGGGTTCAAGATTAAGTAAAATAAGTCTTTCCATAACTTTCAAAAAAGGTGAGGTAATAGCAATGGGTGTAAACTTAACAGTAGATCCACTTGTTGATTTAGGCACTGGAACAATCTTGATATTTTTCTATGAGTCAGGTATAATACTTTTGGAAAAGTTACTCACACAACTTTCTTCTTTCATTTATATACATGTATGGAATTGGCTAGATATTTAAATAAAAATCAATATGAGAAAATGTACATCCAGAAATAATAATATGAGTGTTATTGATGAAATACAATCACATGGGAAATAAGACGAATGTTTCTGAAGGTTATTCTGTACTGCTTGTGACTGTTTGTTAGATAGTTAAGCCATATATCTGCGATTCGTATCCTCCCACGGAAATTCTTCGTCCTTATTTTTGTCTCATAACCAAGATTTGGGAAGTAAACATTGACGTAAATTGCTGTCTACCAATTTTGGCTAGCAGACAGCTCTCACTCAACACTACTACTGTTTTATGTCATTGTATCACTCAAAAATGCTTCATATTCCTGGAATCCTGTGTTTTTATATGGTCTAAATCGTTACTTTTTTCTTACCTTTAACACTTGTAATGATAATATCTGTATGCCTTCTTCTTCTTTTACCTCTCATCATTGAATAAAAGCGCTGAAGATGAGGATAAATACGCCATACTAATTGCCTTGTTCAAACTGAGAATAGTTCGTGGCAAAACATTAATCTTTACAAATTCTGTAGACCGATGTTATAAGTAAGTCGTCACTTGACAAATTATCTTTTAAAAAATTTACTTTTAAAGCCTTGGCGGTAGACTTGAAAAATTCCCTATTCGATTCAATCGCTCTTTTTTCGTTGTTGCTTCTTATACAATTTATTGAACCTTAGAGATAAAACAGACTAAATACGCAAGTCAGCATGGGCATACTTCCATTCTTCATGCCTAAAAAATGCTTCTCATATCATGACGTCTACCTTTGTCTACTTTATATGATTGTAAACTATTCTATGCTTGTAATCATGATGTTTCTATAGTTGCGTGCAATCATTTTTGGTAGTTCTAGGTTTGCATGAAATTGGGTGTTTAGAAAAGACCAACCCCGAAAATCGCACATCCCGACGTATTCTACGACTGTCTGACTATCTGTTACGAGGTTATAAAGTTACATAGACTAAGATGGCTAGGTCACGTGGTGCGCATGCCTAACCACCGCCTCCCCCGACGGGCATTGTTAGCTGATATAGGTTCAGGTTGGAAAAGAGCCAGTGGTGGCCAAACAAAAACATGGCATCAATCCATGAAATCCTTGACAGTTAAACTGAGTCAGGTAGGGAGATGCAGACTCCCGGGTTGGGGCCCTCGGGACTCTAGGAATCAATGGCTGGAGACAATAGGTGACATGGCTCAAAATCGTTGTCAATGGCGCAGATGTATTCAATCTCTGTAATCTTTCATATTCCTTTCTACCATTACCCATTCTGTTTCACTCTTATATTTGTCAAACTCCATTGACTCTCTTCACTCATCTTCTTGTCTACCTCTGTGTGGTATTTTGGAACGTGGCAACTCGAACTGCTGCACTTCGGTGCCAAGTTCTATGTTGAATCCAGACAGACAGACGACTGTCTGTAGCCGGCGTTGAGGTCCTAGTACGAAACACAACCGTAATGACCAATTCATGTAAGCATTATGTAACCGACCTCAAGTAGTTCTCCCCTGGGCGCTGCAACACTCTTTCTATTAAGGTATCCCAAGAAAAAATCAACTTCTGCGGCGCGGATAGCCGCACACACACACAGACTTCCAAATGCACACTAGGTCCAGTGAGTTAGTGATACGTATGCGACATTTGTTTCGTCTGAACACAAAGACAGAGCAAGTTTCCTATCAGTTATGTCCACTGCTTTTGCTCCCCTGTTGGCATACTGGTAGACTTGATTTTGTTTAACTTGGAAGTCTCAGAAAGTGGTTCTTTAACTGATAAAAGACCCATCGACTTAGAGTACAGTGGCAACATAGTTATCTTAGACAAGGCCACTGAAAAGAAAGACAGTATTCTGACCGCCCTGACTAAAACAGTGCGTGTTTATGAGGCAGCTGTGGTTCATTGATAATTATAATGATAATAGCTTTATTCCAGAACAGTACTTGTGATACAGAATGGAATCCTCAGCATTTTACTACAGTATTGCATCCAGTTAGTAAATTAACAATAAAATAAAATTCTACATAGATTAAGGGTAATCTCAGTTAGTTTTGACAACATATTAGCATGTCGGTAGCAAAGCCAAAATTAAACAGTGTTTGAAGGTGCTAAAAAAGTAGGTGCTAGCATATTTACTGGCGTAAGCAGAAAAAAGAAACAAAGCTGCACATAACAGAAAAAAAGATAGAGAGTAAGAAAAGGAAAAGAAAGGTCCAAGCGTTTGACTTCCAATCATAGAGTTGGGGTTTCTAATCTCGCTCCACTTGAAAAGGTTTTCGCAGACAAATAGTATGATTAACGCCCACCCATCCACCACCCTACACACACATTAAGTGTGCCTCATCGCCGACTGCATGGACATGCAAGTGGTTGCTGAGTAACCTCAACCCGGAACCTATTTATCTTTGTTAAATACAAGATGATGTTACAGGATTATTATTTATATTATTATTTACTTTAATTCCTAGAGGAACATAGGGCTTCAGCCGCGCGTCTCCATTGCGTTCGGTTCTCTGCTAAAGTTTTCACCTGGCTCCAAGTTTGCCCACATGCTTTCATCTCCTCTTCACATCACCTCCTCCAAGTCACCCTTGCACTGACCACCAATTCGGCGCTTCCCTTTCGGGCTCCACATGAGTGATAGCCTGCATTGCGTGTAATGTCACTTGATGGTTTCCTCAGAGTATGGCCAATCCATCTCCATTTCTCCCTGCCTATTTGTTTCTCAATCGGTTCCTGTTTGGTTCGCTCCCAGAGATCCCTGTTGCTAATATTTTCTGGCCGGCCATCTGATCTTGAGTATTAAGCGAAGACAACTGTTAATGAAGATCTGAAGTTTGTTTGAGATGCTCTTCATGACGCGCAGTGCAAGTCTCTGATCCGTAAAGTAGCACTGACTGACTTCACATTGGAGTTGAAAATCGGGATCTTATTTTTGATGCTGAGTGCTGTTGACCTCCACACAGACTTAAGGGTAATGAAAGCCTGTCTTGCTTTTCCGATTCTGGCTTTGATATCCTCGTCAGTTCCGCCTGTAGTTGAAACGATGCTTCCCAGGTAGGTGGGTGTGAAGGGGGTTGTTTCTTTCAGGTTCCTCCCATTTATGCTGGCTGACTGTTGTCTGTTGTTGTTGCTGTTGGTGTTGGCCAGGAATCTTCATCACCTCTGTTTTCTGTATGTTCACTTGAAGTCCTATCTTTGATGCTTCTTCCTCTGTCGACTTGTTGCTTTTCACTTGCATATCTTCCAGTTTGTGGGAAATCACACATATATCACCGGCGAAGTCCAGATCCTCCAAGTCTCTTTTTGTGTGAGTCCATTTTATGCCTGTTTCCTCATTTCCCGCCGTTGTCTGTCGCATTATCCAATCTACTGCAATCAGGAAAATCATTGGCGACAGTAGGTAGCCACCTTGTCTTACTTCCTTCTTCACTTCGAAGGATTCCGTAAGTGATACACCCATTAACTGGGTATCAGTTTTCAGGAGAACCAAATACACCCATCCCTGCCTCTTGCGAGAGGAGACCGGCATGCAGAATCATCCTGTGGCGCAACCACTCGAGAGCCCTCTCTCTCTCTCTCGGTGGACCAGTTACAGGATTAGTTCGCACCGAAAGTCAAATCTTTAGCGTTAACCCTAATGGATTATTTGGTAATGAAATCTTAGCATGTGTGTGTGTAAGAAGTTTCTTTTTAACACTCGCCAATTTGCATCACCTATAGTGCTAGTGTGATATCCAAAGTGTATACTTTACAGCAATCCCCTGTGTCTTGTTTCTTTTTTTTTGTGACTCTGAGACATAGTCACAGAAATACACAAAGGGTTTCGAAATATTTTACCGCTTTGAAGGTTGATTCTTACACTGTGTGAAAACACATGGTAATATTGAGATGTGATGCCTATAAGGTTGACCAAAAAAAGGTACAGTTAAGTCGATGAAGTTGTGAACCTTCGTTTAATTTAGCTACTTTTTGACATGTATCATATAATACCACCAAGACGTCTTGCTCAATGAACCATTTTAACCCTGGGTGCGTTTACGTTGGGAGTATAAGTTAGTTGTTAAATTAAAAAGTCGTAGTTCAACGAAGAAGCTCTTTTAGGCGAATTCATTTTCTTTAGGTGTATAGTTGCATTGATATACAATTTTTTTTCCATGGCGAACGGTAGTAACAAAATTGATGAATTGTCACAATCATAATTGTCAATATTAGTCAATGTATAAAACGTAATTAGAATTGAATTGGTGGATGGTGGTGACTAGCAGCAGTGGAATCCAGGACAACGTGCATTTCGTCCCACTTGGGACTCGTTAATTGGATGTACCTGCGTTCCCCTAGTGAGTGATGTGATGTTCCCACCACCGAGGCTCGAACCTAGTGCCCAAGTGGTCTAGTGGATAACGCTTTGGCATTTAAAATTATGGACACTGGGTTCGAGCCTCGGTGGTAGGAACATCATCACTCACTGACTGGGGAATGCAGAGGTGCATCCAGATGACGGGTCCCAAATAGGACGAAATGCGCGTGATCCTGGATTCCACTGCTAGTCACCACCATCCACCAAGCAAATTCGAATTACCCTACGATATTGTCAATTGTGAAACAAGAAAAGAAAGTTACGCAACAGGATGAATGAGTCGTGTAATCAGGAAGAACATAGAAAAGAAGAAAACACATAGAATTATGTAAGAGTTCTTAAGAAACACAAGAGTTACAGGGAGTTAGAAAAACAAGCAAACAAACAAAAGTGAAGTCAGTAGATATATTACCAAGTTTCTCACCATGATAGTAAGGGTGGTTGAATTATTTTTATTTTTTTGAATTCATAGTTAGAATGAATGCCTCCAGTAATGCAAAGGAGATGAAAGCGTATTGTCTTTGGCAAATTGTTCCTCACTTTGTAGATTAACTTTTGAAGCAGGAGGCGTTTGTTTAGATGGAATGCCCAGTGATGGTGGATGACAAGGTGTTCGATTATCACACTCCTTATAGCGCCGCTACTACATTACTGCAACCATACTGGGACTGTGTTCTTTAACCCTTTAAGGCAGGATATGTGTTGAATGACCAGCATACCTGACTCCACAAGAACAGGTGAACTGATATACGCACATGGGAGTCAAATACGAGATCTTGTCTCTAAGGTTTATGAAGACCAATGAAAGAGTATGTGTAATCGCTGGTCAACTATTGATTTTTTTTAAATGAAAAGTATAATCCTGCTTGTTGGCTTTTTCTTTGCCTCAAAATCAATTCTTTTGTGTGCTATATTTTAGACTTCGATTGTTTCTAGAAGAGTTTGGAATTAGAGCAGCCTTGTTAAATTCAGAATTACCTGTCAAATCACGATCTCATGTAATTGATCAGTTTAACCGAGGATTGTACGATTATTTACTGGCTACTGATGAATCACAAGCAGATCATGTTACAGCGGCGAATACTGAAGGGGGTGGGGGTAGTGGCAAAGGCTCTAAGAAGTGAGTTTTTGAAATGTAAAAAATTATCTACTAATTTTGTAAAATATTTCTAAGCCGCTTTCACTATAGATCGTCTAGAGAGATCATTTCACTTATTTGAGAAGTTGCATCAGTCAGCGCCAACGGGTTGATCGCTGACGAAAAGGTAGTGTGGCATTTGTCAACCTGCATCATATCTGGCTTAGACGTTATATCCGCCTGTCTACTAATCAAAGGACGTGTGTACTGCTCAATAATCCGCTCCGTCCTCGTTTACGACTTTCAGACATGACCATTGAAAGTGGAAGACATGAAAAGTCTGGCTAGCTGTTTTTGATCATAGGTGCCTGCGTTCTACTTCCCGTGTTAAGTGGTATAATAGTATGAGTAATACTAAGGTTAGGTGAGGAGGATAACCCAATCGATGGCATTATGAGATGACCAGGACACGTGTTACATATGCCTAGCCACCGTCTTCGCACATAGGCAATGTCAGCTGACGTAGGATCAAGTTTGAAAAGACCTAGTGGTTGCCCAACCAAAATATGGCTTCATCAGTCAACAAAATCCGTAACAGTTAACTTAAGCCAGTCACATAGGGAGGTGTAGACTATGCTATCTGGTTAAGGCCATAGGGATTGTAAAAACCAATGAAGGTTGGAGACAATAGATGAAATACCTCAAAATCCTTGTTATCAATGGCTGGCTCAGATGCATTCACCCCTTGCGATTTATAATATCCAATAAAATTCTATTGTTCTTCCATATTGCTATTTTTTTGCCTCATATCTCTGTGTTTAGTCTCTGCTCTTGCTTTGTGTGTTACATGGAGGGAGAGTGGCAAGCCGAACTTCTGCACATCCTTGCAAAGTTCTATGTTGAAACCAGTCGGTCATTCTTCTAGATGGACACATTAGAAGCCAAAGGGCAAATACACGCATCGCTACAAACCAGAAACTGAAACTGCGGTAATAATGTCAATACTATATATATATATATATATATATATATATATATATATATATATATATATATATATATATATATATATATATATATGCATAAACAGCATAGCTGTAAGAGCAGACTGCAGCCAGATTGAGGTTTTGTCAAAACGCTGTGTACTTATCTGAATGACCATCAATCACGCTGTTGATGTTGATGAACAACAACTAATTAAGCTAATGCAGAATCGGAGGTCGATTGGATAAAATTAAATTTCTTAAGTTAGTAAGCCATGTCTTCATTATCATATGGGGTGTGAAGCAATCCAACAACTAAATATATTGGTCCTTTAAGTAAGAGCTGATGCAATATACCCATCCAATCATTAGTTCGTCGTACTACTTGATGGGAAACTGTTAGCTACCGAGGAAAATTCAAATATCTTGGTCAATAAGCCGTGGCTATATGCAAACTGTTATAGTTATGATAACTCAATCGGGCGATTATGCAACATATCCCTTTTTTGAAGTGTCGCCTTTCTCCCTTACCCGGTGAGTAAAGAAGTGAAGAATAATCAGATTGTAACTGAGGAATGTGGGATAGGAGTGAAGATTAGTAAGTTTGGAATGAGTTTGCTCAATATGAATAAGTTCAGGAAAAAAAATCGATGTTGATGAGGCGGCAGCATAGAGGCAAATATCAAAATAAATTATTTAGTAGGCGAAGTAAGCGAACAAAAACTGATTTTAATGTACCCAAAATATTCATTCAGACATCTGTAAAACACTAAATAATTGAGCGAAGGATATTCTTTTCGATAAATTCCTTTTGTGGCTCTAGAATTATATGTATGTTTATATACATAGAATATTCTGGGCCTTTGAAGGAACCCGAACTCTATTGTCGATACATTTTTGATTATGAAAAATGAGAAGGAAGCAAAGAGCATCCTGGATAAATTTAATGAGGTTCATCCTGCAATAAATTTTACCATTGAGAAATAAAAAGACACTAGTATTTCATTTTTAGACGCCTTAATAACCAGAAAAGAGGATGGCACAATAATAAGAAGAAGTGTATATAGAAAACCTACATCAACGGGTCAGTATACTCATTTTTTTCAGCTTCGTGCCCTTAAAATACAAACGCAATCTGATAAAGTGCTTTGTTCACAGAGCAAGAGCAATTTGCTTGGACGAATGCCTTGATGAGGAACTTAATAATATTAAACGGTTGCTAAGTGAAAATGGTTATCCTGAAAAGTTTATTGATAAGAATATGAATCTAAAATCAAAACAGCCCAAGGTACCAACAGTTCTTAAATAGGCCTTATGCTAAAGCAGTTCCTTGGGGACAACATCAGCGAGATACGAACACAGCGCCTCAGAAATGCAGTAAAAAGAGCATTTCCTGCTGCTGAATTACGCTGTTCTTCAAAACCACTCAAGTTTTGCGTTCGGGAGTAAAAGACAAACTGCCTAATTTCGCCTCTTCCATGTGTATCTACCGATTTGACTGTTCCTGTGGAGCCAGTTGCATGGGCCGTACAATTAGGCGTGTTTCTCGTCGAATTTCCGAACATCACTCTGCGTGGTTAAGTAAAGGACAAACAAAATCTATTCGTAGCGCTATTCTATCTCATCTTGCGGGATACAGAACACAAGATTGATGTTAACCAGGCTTTCAAAGTCATTTACCGCATACCAACAAATCTCAATTTCGCCCTAAGAGTTCGATTACTAAATATTGCTGAGGCTGTGGGGATCCATATTAACAAGTCTAATTTATGCATCCAAAAGAAGTTAGTTCAAACGTCATCCTTACCTTGTCCATCTAGGTTTGAATGACTCCGAATTTTTGTGGAATTTTCCTAATTTTAGCTGATATTCTATTTGCTACTACATCTTTATTACTATTATAATTTAAGCATCTTTAATGAACTGTAATTCCATTGTGATCTTACTTTACAAATCGGTATTATTTAAAAAAACACTAGTATTGTTATTGACTACTAATTTAGAATTGTAGAGCCGGAAGACGAATTTATCGAGAAGAATATTCTTTGCTTGATTATTTTGTGATTGTAATGTGTCGCACAAAAATGCACACCGACGATATTGGTTGGGATTCGCGCTAAATCACGAACTGGTAAAAGTTAGAATCCATGAGCCATTTAATCGGCTCCCAGTGGCTGAATTGTATACGAGCTAGCTTGCCTTGTAACCGGAAGATCTTGGGTTTTACCCCTGGCAGTGGATGCGTACTGGCGATGATTCCCAAACTAGAATGAAACAGCTCTCCAGTACTCCAGTTCTGGTTTTCAATGGTTCTCTAACTGATATGAATCCGTGATCAACTCGTCGCCCGACCGAAAGCTGCTACCTTAACGTGGTGGTCGGGCTTGAACACCGCAATGACCTAATCAAGCTATACTGGCTGAGACTTATGTCTCTTGAGGTTCTACCATGCCAGAACGGTTGTTTGGATAGCGGTTAAACAAAAAGCAGCTACCCCATCCAATACCATGATTCAAACAAATTCACAAAATTTCATGCCGGATCGGCCGTGGCCCGGATTAACAACGACTGCGCTTCCTGCTGCCGTGTCACAGGGCAGGAGTGATAAGTATGCTACTGAGACACACCAAACAAAAGAGAACAAACAAAAACAGGCCGCGTGTGACCGGCCTCAAGCAGTTGTCCCCTGGGCTCTGCGGTCACGCAACCAACTTCCACGGTGTGGGCAGCCGGGAAGTAACAATCGCCCTCACAATCCGAATCCAGACAGACAGATCAACTCGTCAAAACAAATCTATTCCTTACAAACCAATCATAGAAAATACTATTAATAACAAAATACTGATAACAGCTGAACTTAGAATTATACCAAGATTGAAAGAAGAGATAGGGAAGTTTCTTCTGTGCATGTAAATCACGATATTCCGCTCGAATCCCTAAAGTCTTGGAAGTGCAACAAAGTATACGTAAGCATACCGTTTTCGGGGGAGGGGGATTTTTTCGACTTTGTAGATAACTTTGAATGAATTTCACCTACATATTGATTGAGTGGCCAGTGTTAAATGTGTTCACTTATAGCACCCGGTGTTGACCCATTGTAACCTTTCTGTAGCCAACCGACTGAGATTATGCTCTTTGACTGTTTTGTGCAAAACATGCATTGACCTATAGATACGTCTCCTTCCACATCTTATAATGTCATCATATTCAACAATTAACTGTCTTCGTGTGCATTGTTTTATATGGGTTGATTACTTTAATGACGTAAGAGTAGTGAGTATTGCTCCTTATTATTATATTTTTTTTAATCAATGCCTTTCCTAGACTAAAACATCGTGATGCTGAATATGGTGTCTCAAGAGGAATAGACTTTCAAATGGTTAGTAATGTGATCAACTTTGATTTCCCACCAACACCTACGCTTTACGTGCATCGTGTTGGTAGGACGGCTCGAGCTGATCAAATGGGAACAGCCTTATCATTTGTTAGTAAGACAGAAGAGAGTCTTTTAGCTGAAGTTGAAGCCTTATTGAATCCTGCTGGTGCTGCAGCAGCAGTGAAACCAGGTGCAGTTGGGGATAAAAGTAAGTTGGAGTTATTTTATTAAAGTCTTTAGTCAATAGTTTTATTATTATTATTATTGTTCCCTTGGGTTCTGAGTGGAACATACGACTTCATCAGCACATCCCCACTCCGTCTCTTATTCTATGCTGCCCTCTTTGACTGGCCCTGAGATTACCCATAGTCTTTGATCTCTTCCTGGCACGATGTCTTCCGTGTTATCCTTGGACGCCCTAGTCAACAGTAGTACTTTGTTTCAATTAAAAGTTCTTATGATTTATACGACAAATATTTCATTTTGGTCAAAATATTTCTTTTTTTTATGCATAAATTCAATTCCCGATTGGCTAACTAATTTGCTGTCTATACTCAATTCGACAAGGTAAAATCTCACTACAGTTTCCTTTGGGAACTGACTTTATTGAAATCTTCAAATATTGGTCTGTAGGGATTTTGTTTGATTAGCTGGAGGATTTCATCATTAACTGACATCGGTTAGAGAACAATTAGAAAACCTGAGAGGACTAGACAGTTGTTTCGTCCTAGTTTTGGACTCTTCATCAGTACGCATCCACCGGAGTTCAAACCCCAGGACCTTCTGGTTGCAACACTAGCTCGTAGACTACATGGGGTACAGCAGATCAGGTGTGAAGATAGATAATCACCGATGAAGTTAGGGCTACTAGCTTAAGCTTTGACGTTTCAATAGCTATGGTGTTGTTTTCATGAGTGTTGGGGTTGCTAACCCGCACCCCCACCATCCCAACCCCTTACCGGACTAATAACTGGCTAGACGAGGTTTAAGAAGTGTACTGACTGGGGATTAAATCTGGAGTACATTTGCGGTCGGCCAGTATTCTACTACCGAACCACCGACGTATATATTTTCTCACATAGTAGTTGTATATGTCTTGATTTATTCCCTAACCACTTTCTTCTGTTTTCTTTATATTACAGATGTTGTTGCCTCTGTCTTCAGACCTTACCAGTTCCGTCTTTCTGAAGTTGATGGTTTCAGATACAGAGCTGCTGTAAGTTTTATATTAACATGAAAAATGTTTGCATTTTGTATATTATTATTATTATTCCTTTGGGCTCCGAGTGCAGCACAGAGCTTCAGTAGCACATCTCCACTTTGAACTATTCCATGATGTCCCCTCTAGCTAATCCCACGTTTGTCCGTAGTCTCCCATCTCCTCCCCTTCACTATCTCCTTCATGTCATCCTCAGATGTATGCCCGATTCGTTGTTTCCCATTTGGTCTCCACTCGAGCCATACCATTCGATGGTCTCTTCAGCGTGTGCCAGCCTTTGTCTCCATTTTCTCCGGCATATTTGTTGAGCAATTTTCTTTTTTTGGTGTGATTTTTTCCCAATTGTTTGTTGTTGCCAATTCTTTCTGATCTTCAATAAGGAGCCAGTGAAGGCAGCTACTGATAAAAGTCTGAGACCTGTTGGAAATGCTTTTTTATGACGCCCGAGCCAAGTTTCTGACCCATATAGAACTTCTGTGTATTTACTTCATCGGCTTCTCTGTTTTTCGCCTTAGATCACTTAACGCATGGCGTTGTCAAATAACTGTTGAATGAGCTTGGTGAAGACTTGGGGCACTCCATAATGTTGAAGTAGTTTCCAAATTACTTCTCAGTCAATGCTGTCGAAGGCCGTTGCCTTTTCAAAGTCGATGAAGTTGAGGTAGAGGTGTAACAACAGAAGACAAGGGCCAGGAAACAGATCATTTATTAAGGAAATCAATACTTATTTATATATTTTCATGTACATTATGATAGATTATTGTTAGCAGAAAAACAGTCTTCTGATGGGTTGTATCTCACTGAAAGTTAACCTTGTATCTCTTTGTGGCTGTTTCCTGAATGTCAGATCATCTATATGCTAACTGTATCCGCCTACGCAAAATCTGCTGTGATTGGGTGTTGAATCAGTCCTTGTTCATATTTTTCTCACGACCAATATTTGGGACATAAACATTGACGTAAATTAATGTCTGCCAATTTGCTAGCAACCTGCTCTCACCACAGAGGTTTAACTGCTACTGTGTACTTCACTCAATGATGATGCGTAGAGTTCCCTGTATCCAACTTGTTCCGGGTGGTGGACTTCTGCATCTAGAGTATCTTTTATTCTCTCTCCAGGGTGACACAGTTTAATATTCTGCTTGGCTTGAACAAGAGCATGATTCTTCACCATTTCTTGCAGTGGCCTAAGTCACCCACCCTTCTTTGTTAGTTGGATAAGGTAAGGTAGCCCTTCTTCCAATCAGTAGGTGGTACCTTTTCTTCTTTCCAAACATTTTGCAACAGTGACGTGAGCATATTTGCATTTTGTAGCCTAATATAAAAGTTAAACTATAATATGCTAATAGTATGTGAAAAAACTTGGGCACTGTGTTAGTAAGTAATTCGATATTAGTTTGTTTATTAGATGTATCATACAGTGATGAAACAGTATTATTTACTAGATGACTTTTCGAACAAAATTTATTGTTCATAATCATGTCAATTATAATGATACACCTTCTAAATTTGAGTTTTATCTGTCTCTGTCTGTCTGGATTCAACATAGAACTTCGCACCGAAGTGCACCAGTTCCAGTTGCCACGTTCCAAATACCACACAGAGGTAGACAAGAAGATGAGTGAAGAGAATCAATGGAGTTTCACAAGTATAAGAGTGAAACAGAATGGGTAATGGTAGAAAGGAGGACTATGAAAGATTACAGAGACTGTGAATACATGTGCGCTGGCCATTGACAACGATTTTGAGCCATGTCACCTATTGTCTTCAGCCATTGATTCCTAGAGTCCCGAGGGCCCCAACCCGGAAGTCTGCATCTCCCTACCTGACCGACTCAGTTTAACTGTCAAGGATTTCATGGATTGATGAGGTCATGTTTTTGTTTGGTCACCACTTACTCTTTTCCAACCTCCACCTATATCAGCTAGTAATGCCCGCCCGTCGGGGGAGGCGATGGTTAGGCATGTGCACCACGTGACCTAGCCATCTCAATCTATGTAACTTTATAGCCTCGTCGATTGATTTTCCCTGTTTGCCCAACACTCTACGCCTAACGTCAACATTACTTACCTTATTAAACCACCTAACGTGAGAAAGAGATCGCAGACATCTATGATCGAAAGCAGTCAACCTTTTCATATCTTCAACGCGTATTGGCCATGTTTCAGAGCCATAGAGGAGGACGGAGCGAAGTGATGAGCAGTACACACGTCCCTTGGTTGATAGCCAGCCGGATGTCACGCCTACACCGGAGATGGTGTAAGTCAGCGAAAGCAGCTCGAGCTTTTTGGATCCGTGCTGAGATTTCGTCGCCAATCAGTCCGTTGGTGCTGATACAACTTCCCAAATAGATGAAGTGGTCAACATGTTCTATCACTTCACTCCCTATCACTAAGTTAGGAGTTGACGTAGTCCAGTCCTGTAGCAGCATCTTACATTTTGTAGGAGCGAATCGCATGCCAAACATACGAAGATTGCTGCTCAAGGTGTTCAGAAGACTCTGCATTTTGTCACCATCCTCCCCTAACAGGAAGGACTATGTCATCTGCATATTCTAAGTCCATAAGATTATTCCCTGGTAACAAGTCGATTCCTAAGTCATTACGTTCAGTTAAGGATACTTCCATCAGCATATCTATGATGAAGTTAAACAGAAATGGGGAAAGTGGACATCCCTGTCGGACACCACTGGTTGTTACCAATTCAGATGACAATTCCCCATAAGCCCTTACACGGCTACATGAGTTTGAATAGAGTGTCTTGATTAATGCAATGTACTTTCTTGGCACTCCCTTCACAGTCAGACATTGCCATAGTACCTTTCGATCCACGGAGTCAAAGGCCGCCTTCAAGTCAAGAAATATGGCAATTGTTGGACGCCGAGAAGTGTGTCTATGTTCTAGAATCTGTCGGAGAGTGAAGATATGATCTATGCTTTGAGTTTTATAGTTTCCTTTGTTCTCTCCTATTTGTCTTCTTAGGGGTAGTAGAATTTCACAGATATCAGCGAGGACAGGTGTTGAATCATTCCTATTACTCGTGTTTGCAGTTGATTCGATAAACAAAGCTTCTGCTATCAATCTCTCCCTCCACCCTGGTGTTACAGTAGATTTTAAAACTGTCATCTTATCCTATCCATCCTATTGTATGGTTGTGTGTAATTGCATGTGGTGGGTGCTATAGCTGAACTATTCTCTAGATTTCCTATCTTATTTGGGTCAACCAGTCTAGATTTTGCTAGGTTTTTATGTTCGGCTAGTCTGAATAACTGAGCCCTGTTCTACTACTTTGACCTATGTATTTGACCTGACAATCATTGCAGACAGGGTATTAGATAAACTAAATTGTTTTGTTCTAAACGCTCCACAGGACTGATCGTTTAACCGACAAAGCTGGTTTCTACTAGAGTTGGTGGGATTGAATGCCACTTTTATTCCTACTGTGTTACGAATTCTGCGTAAGGTGCTTTCCAAGGTTCCTTCCTTGTGTGGAATCACTACTGATAATTTAGATTCCTTATTGTTGGTGTTGTCTTGCTCATATTTAACACACATGTCGTTATTATTATCATTATTATCACTATCACTACTGTCATTATTTATTCTATTTTTACATTTCCTTACATACTTTCTGACTTAATTTATCGGGATAATTATTAAGTTTCAAGGCTTCTCTTATATGTATCACTTCCTGTCTTAGATTTTCCTTGGTAATACTTAGTTTTTGTGCTCTGTCACTTAAACATTTTATCAATCCTATTTTATTGACATTGGATGGGATGAACGGAAGTCCAAATATCTGTTTGAATGTGTGGGTTTCCTGTAAACACTTCCAATCCTCTTTCCTTTTCACGTTGCAATCTAACATTGGAAGTTCCCCTTCCTGACTTTCCAATTCATAAGTGAATTGAATTGCCTCCACCTTTGAGTTAATGTGTTTAATATGCTAATAATAGTTTGGTGTATTTATTTATTTATTAATCTATTTATTTCTCACAGGATGTAATACGTCATATTACTCGTAAAGTTGTCAGAGAAGCACGCTTAAAAGAGATTAAAATTGAACTGTTGAATTCAGAACGATTGAAAGGCTACTTTCAAGATCATATACCAGATTTAGAAGCACTTCGTCATGATAAACCACTTAAGCATGTAGCTCAACCACATCTGAAAGATGTACCAGACTATTTAGGTGAGTATTGTCTGTCATCAAGCAGACAAATCATCTTTCTGATTTTTGTGTGTCTGTGAGTGTTAATGGTTGTGTTTTTCTGTTCAAACGGAACGTTTTGTTGCTCACTTTTACTAGGAAATCTATTTTTATGATTGCCAATCATTGATGATAACAAAAAGTCATAAGTCTTGCAAAAATCAGTCAGCATCATTTCCCTATGAAAGTTTACATTCCTGAATGTCTGTTTCTCAAATACACACACATTCATCACATTTCAATAATAATAATAAACCCCGGTGCATGCGTACTGCTGAAGAGTCCCAAACTAGGACGAAACAGCTGTCCAGTACTCTCAAATGATTTTCCAATGGTTGTCTAACCGATGTCAGCTCATGATGAAATCCTGAAACTTTCCGATTACCAGACCAGCTCATAGATCATTCAGCCACTGGCTAGGCCATGAATTCTAACTTCTGCCAATCCACGATATGTTGCGACCACTAGTCAATATCATCGGCAACTATCTGTCTCTACACCCGACCTACTGTACCCGACGTAGACTGATTGTTCCCGCAATTCTTCACGTGATTATAAAAATTTCTATAGCATCAGATCCATCTAGGCGATTTATGAGTTGTTTTTTTGTAATTTAGAGCCATACACATAAGTATAGCATATTACTCAACCATCACATGTATAATTAATGCACTCGGCAACGACCGACACCTATTGTGTGAAAGGGCTGGTGGTACGTACTACCCGGATGTCAAATGTTCGGTAGGTAAAGCGAGTTTAAAAACGCGTAACCCACTTAGTTGTAAGCCAAGTATTTGATCTAATGGGCCACAGGTGTGTATACATCGTTCTAAATGAATGAATTTTGATTTGATTATTGCCGTCGTATTTGCATACTCTAGAATTGTATATGCTTACTTATGAACCTATTTTTTTATATTGCCAAATGTATTAAAGTGGAATTTGTTGCTGTTAATCATGCCTAGATGGAATTATATTGTACCCCCCCCCCTATAGTCCCCAAAATTTATACTCTTTCATTAAAAACTAACTTTTTTTATCTGCGTGTTTCTTTCAGTTCCCCAGTCTTTGAGAGCTCTTATGCCAGGAAGTTCCCATGGTCGTAAAAGTAGTATGAGGTGGAAAAAAAGAAACCTGCATACAGACGGAGATGAAAAACCTACAGCTACAGACCTGAAAAAACGTCTTCAGGTGAAACATAAGCAGGCTAAAAAGGTGAGTTTAGTCCTAGGCTATTGTGTCTCATAACAAATAGTCTTTATCAACTAAGATATATTGTAACGACAGAAGACAAGGGCCAGGAAACATCGTTTATTGAGAAAATCAACAGATATTTATAGATTTTTATCTACATTATCATTCGATATTGTTAGCAGAGAAACAGCGTCTTCTGATTGGTTGTTTTCCTGCTGAAGGTTATTCTGTCATCTCTTTGTTACTGTTTCTTATATAGTCCATCGATATATCTGCTAATCGTATCCGCCCACGCAAAATCTGCTGTGATTGGCTGTTGAGTTAGTCTTTGTTCTTGTTTTTTCTCATGACCCCGACTAGCGACGTAAACATTGACGTAAATTGCTGCCTACCGAATTCCGCTAGCAGACAACTCTCACCACAATATAAGCATTAAATGGAAGACAAACTTTCGTACTTTCTTGCACTCAGTGACTTGGGTTTTGGATTTCTAAGGAGAGGTTTTGGTTCTCTAAAAGACTAACTGTGGAAAGTATGAAACTTAAGCTTTACATGGCCTCTTGTGGGATGTTTGCAACTGCCCAACAGCAGTCGATGTGCATTGTTATGATGAGTGTCCCAGTCTGGTAACCATATTAAAAACTTGAATAAATTGAGAAATAAAAACTCAAGTTGTGGCATGTGCTACTGACAAGATTTATCAGTAGTATATAAAGAGGCGTTCATCGATTAGCACAAAAATATCAAATAGCGGAGAGACAGATTTAACGTCAAAATAGGAAACCAACCAATATTCTGGGAAAACACGGTAGACATCAAAAAACGACATTACGAAGGACAGAAGCAGCAGCACAACACGGAAGATCTGTGCAAATGATGACTTCAATATATGTGGCATACGTAATTCCCCCTATATGTCTGTATATCAAAATTGCAAAGAGACATTCTGCAACCACGTCTCTTGTCTTCTACTGTTTCCAGGTATTATAGAGGTGACTGGTCACAAATTATTACTTTTTGATGGTAATACTAATAATAATAACAATGGCTGACTGACTGGTTTCTGCATAGAACTATGTACCGATGTGCACCAGTTCGAGTTGCGATACTTCACTCATCACACAAAGCCAAACAAGAAAGTAAACAGAGATATGAGGCAAAAAGAATAGTAATATCGAAGAACAATATAGTTTCATTGGAAACTATAAGTCACAGGGAGTGGATACATCTGCGCTATTGACAACGATTTTGAGTCATATCATCTATTGTCTCCAGCCTTCATTGATCTTTACCATCCCGAGAATCCCAACCAGTCAGGAAGTCTACATCTTCCTACGTGGCTAGCCTAAACTAACTTTCGTGGACTTAATTGACTGATGAAGCCATGTTTTGGTTTGATCGCCGCTAGCTCTTTTCCAGCCTCACTGATCCTATGTCAGGTAACATTGCTCGTCAAGTAAGGCGATGACTAGGCATACGTAACCAAAGGGTTGATCTCTGACGAAATCTCACCACGAATACAAGGGGCTCGTTTCGCATTTGTTAGTTTACGCCGACTCTGGCGTAGACGAGATATTCGACTATCGACCAAAGGGCGGGTGTACTGCTCATCAGTCCGCTCCGTCCTTTATGGCTGTGAGACCTGGCCACTGAGAGTGGAAGACATGAAAAGACTAGCTGTCTTTGATCATAGGTGTCTGTGGTCTATCTCCCGTGTGAAGTGGTATAATAAGGTGAGCAATATTGAGGTTAGGCGTCGAGTTCTAGGTAAACAGGGGAAATCAATCGACGAAGTTGTGAAGTTACAAAGACTGAGATGGTTAGGACATGTGCTACGTATGCCTAGTCATCGCTTTCCTTGACAGGCAATGTTAGCTGATATAGGGCCAGGCTGGAAAATAGCTAGCGGAGGTCAAACAAAAACATGGCCTCACCAGTCAATGAAATCTACAACAGTTAGTCTAAGCCATGTAGGAAGGTGTACACTTCCAGGCTGGGACGGTAAAAACCAATGGTTGGAAACAATTGGTGATATGGCTCAAAATCGTTCTCAATGGCTGGTGCAGATGCATCCACTCCTTGTGACTTATGATTTCCAATGAAACTATGTTGTTCTTCGTTATTACTCCTCCTTTGTCTCACACCTCTGCTTACTGTCTCTATGATGCTTTTCTTGTACTTTCTTCTCTTGCTTTGTTTGCTACATGGAGGGAGTGTGGCGACTTGAACTTCCGGACATTTGTGCAAAGTTCTATGTCGAAAACAGACAGACAGACAGAGGCATACGTAACACATGTCCTAACCATCTCAGTCGATGTAATTTCACAGCCTCGTCAATTGATTTCCCCTCCTTACCTAGAACTCCACGCCTAACCTCAATATTGCTCACCTTATTATACCACCTCACACGGGAGATAGGGTGCAGATACGTATCATCAAAGACAGCTGATCTTTTCATGTCTTCCACTCTCAATGGCCAGGTCTGGCTCACAGCCATAAAGGAGGACGGAGCGGACTGATGAGCAGTGCGCACGCCCTTTGTTCGATAGCCGGCCGGATATCACGTCTAGTAAACCAGAGACGGTGTAAACTGGCATATGCGAAACTAGCCTTCTGTATCCGTACTGAGATTTCGTCAGCGATCAACCCGTTGGTGCCGGCTAATGCAAATTCTCAAATAAGTGAAGCGGTCAACTTATAATAACAATAATATCGGCTATAGTCTGGTAATTATATTTACATACAATAAAGAATTTCTCAGCATAATTTTTGGCAAAACTAGCGAAAATATTTATCGACAATATATCCCATGAAGTAAGATTATTCGGTCTGAAACAAGACCCAATCTCTTACGAGACATTTCCACTTCGTTTTCATTTTGAAGTACACAGTTGGTAGGTAACTTGAAAGCCAATTAAAAACTGCAATCCAATAACATCATTGAAAGATCTAAATAACTAGAAAGGAAGAAAGCAAAATTTAGGTAGCCCAGTGGTTTAAGCAAGCCGCCGACTACTGTCTGATTTCTCTCACACTTTCTGTGGTACAGTATGAGAATGCAGGTTATTGGTGGAAAAGTCTGTGGTATGACTTATGATATTCAAATTCACTAAACATGGCTCCTTAGTTTAGGCACTGGAGTATCATACATTGCGTTTTGAGATTACACTCAACATTTAGTGTACGTTAGTGGTTCATGGTTAGGAACACTCGATAAACCCTAACGCCCGTGGTTGGAATTCGATTCCCTGCCGATACATTTTTAAACCTCTCCTAGGTGGGTATTTAAGCCCGGAAAAGCTGGAAGGTTGACTGTGAAGAAACAAAGAAACGCTAATTTTCAAGAATTACTTTGTAGGGATTTGATTTGTTTCAATTTTGTAACCACGGATTGATATCAGTTTCAGAACTATTGAAAAGCATAACTGGAGTAGTGGGTAGCTGTTTCATCCTGGTCTGGGACTTATCGACAGTATGTACCTACTTAAGGGTTCGAACTCAGGACCTCCCGCTTACACAAGGCAGGCTCGTAGAGCAGCATTCAACCAACGGAATCCGACTCAATGGCTAACACCATGAATTCTAACTTCCACCAATTTGTGATTTTAGCGTGACCACCATCCGCTTATGTCATCGGTAAGCCATTTGTCCTTAATCCCAACCAGGTGGGCCCCATTGGTCACAACTTCTCACTAGAACTCCTGGTAACTTCGTCCCATTTAGCCAGTCACTAGCCAGCATCAGATTAATTCTCAAGACGTCATGGCCAGTAGTAGGGTCTATTCAGTCGGGAGTTAGGATAAATACTTGCCAGTGACACTGCCTAGTGGTCGCACTAAAATCATGAATTAGTAGAAGTTAGAATTCATGGGTTAGCCATTAAGTTGGGTCCCAGTGGTTGAATGTTCGATGAGCTTTACCTTGTTACCGAGAGAGGCCCTGAGTTCGAATCCTGAAGTGGGCGCGTACTGCCGACAAGTCCCGAAATAAGACGAAACAACTGTTCAGTACTCTGCTTCTCAATAATATCAATCTATGATCAAATTTGAAACAAACGTTAATGAAAAACTTCAATAGCTTGAAGTAAAAGCCCTGAGCTCCATTCGGGGGACACAAAGGGAATAGAGAAAAAGTAGTCCAACATGTACAAATTTGATATTTCCTAGAATATGAAGTAAAATCATTCACTGAAGGTTTCTGTGCTTCCCACAAAACCTATACTTGTGTTCTATATGAATTTTAATTTTTTACGATTACAAATACCAAATTATGATTTATGAATATACTTCACCTTTTCTCCTTCTTCTTCTTATTTATTTTTCTTTAGCGTAAGTCTCAAAATCCTCTATTTTCATTTGGACGAAAAAAATCTAAAGCAGCTTAACTAAATAAAAAACAAAAGCTGTTTAATGAAGAGGGAAGTATACAAGTTTATTAAAATGGTATATTTATTCTGCACAAATGTACAAACAAATAACTTTTCTACTACTACTACTACTACAACTATTACCGCGTAGTTTTTATTTACTGGCCAGTGTACGTACATGTGTAAATAACTGTCGGTAATTGATAACAATAAATCTTTCTTCTTCTTTTTCTTCTTGAATTTTAAATAAACTCGCACTGTGTATATGTCTGTATGTCTGTCTGGATTCAACATAGAACTTCGCACCGAAGTGCACCAGTTCCAGTTGCCACGTTCCAAATACCACACAAAGGTAGACAAGAAGATGAGTGAAGAGAATCAATGGAGTTTGACAAGTATAAAAGTGAAACAGAACGGGTAATGGTAGAAAGGAATATGAAAGATTACAGAGACTGAATACATCTGCGCTGGCCATTGACAACGATTTCGAGCCATGTCACATATTGTCTCCAGCCATTGATTCCTAGAGTCCCGAGGGCCCCAACCAGGAAGTCTGCATCTCCCTACCTTACCGACTCAGTTTAACTGTCAAGGATTTCATGGATTGATGGGGCCATGTTTTTGTTTGGTCACCACTGGCTCTTTTCCAGCCTGCACCTATATCAGCTAGTAATGCCTGCCCGTCGGAGGAGGCGATGGTTAGGCATGCGCACCACGTGACGTAACCTGGCCATCTCAATCTATGTAACTTTATAGCCTCGTCGATTGATTTCCCCTCCTTGCCCAACACTCTACGCCTAACGTCAACATTACTTACCTTATTAAACCAGCACCTAACGTGAGACAGAGATCGCAGACATCTATGATCGAAAGCAGTCAACCTTTTCATGTCTTCAACGCGTATTGGCCATGTTTCAGAGCCATAGACAAGGACGGAGCGAAGTGATGAGCAGTACACACGTCTCTTGGTTGATAACCGGATGTCACGCCTACGCCACAGATGGTGTAAGTCAGTGAAAGCAGCTCGAGCTTTTCGGATCCGTGCTGACATTTCATCGCCAATCAGTCCGTTGGTGCTAATACAACTTCCCAAATAGATGAAGTGGTCAACATGTTCTATCACTTCACTCCCTGTGTATATGGCTCGGTAACTAGGTAAATTTGCACAGGCCAAATTTATTGCGTTCCTTTTCTTTACTACATACGTACAGAATACTATGGAAATTTATTTGAAATACCTAAGTCCAGCATTGAATAGTATTCTATCATGTTATATTGTAACGACAGAAGACAAGAGTCAGGCAACACATCGTTTATTGAGAAAATCAACAGATATTTATAGATTTTTATGTACATTGTTATTCGTTACTATCGCAAGAGAGAAACAGCGTCTTCTGATTGGTTGTTTTCTCGCTGAAAGTTAATCTGTCATATCTATGTGGCCATTTCTTTGAAAGTCAGACCATATATCCGTGAATCATATCCGCCCACGCAAAGTCTACTGTGATTGGTTGTTGAGTTAGACATTGTTCTTGTTATTTTCTCATGACCAAGATTTGGGACGTAAACACTAACATAAATTTCTGTTTACTAATTTTGGCTAGCAGGCAGCTTTCACCACAGTATAACTGTGCTACAGAAGATGTTGGTGTAAAGTCAATTTTTAAAAGCATTACGATAATAACTACGACATACATTATTATTATTATTATTCTGGGTTCCAAGTGGAACATAGAACTTCAACAGCACATTTCCATTTCATCCTGTTCTCTGAAGTCTTCTTAAGCTTGCTCTACAATAGTCAACAGGCATTCATCTCCTCCATGTCATCCTCGGACGCCGGACTCGTCGTTTCCTATATCTGGGTTCTACTCGAACGCTTGGCTTGCGACGTCAACCGACGGTCCCCTCAACGTGTTTTTTATCGATCTCCGTTTCCTTCCTTTTAGCCCGACCGGTAGCTGCTACCTTGACGTGGTGGTCGGGCTTGCACATCGCAATGACCCAAAATGCTAGACTGGCTAGAACTATTGTTCCTGCAGGTCCTATCATGTTAGGAAAGTTGTTAAGATAGCGATCAGACTAAAAGTAATTACCGGCTTAGTGTAAGAATCTTTTTTACACTATGCTGGGAGTCTGTGGGCGAAGTCGTACTGCTAGGGAACAGGGGTGTAACAGCAGTGAGGTGTTTCCCTCAGATGACCAACATGCTAGCTATGCTCTCTCTTCACTCTGGAGAGAGGGTTAGGAAAGGTCGACCCCTAAAATTGCACATCCCGACTCACCCTACGGTGGTCCGTAACCGGCGGTAAGTTTACTAATACGGAACCAAACTAAGAAACCAGTTCATACAGGCCTCAAGCAGTTGTCCCTTGGGCTCTGAAGTCACGCAACACTAACCCTCTTTCTGTTTCAGTTACCCGAAGAATCAATCAACTTCCATGGTGTGGGAAGCCGGGGAGTAACAACCGCCCACATACTCCTAAAATCACACGAAGCCTTCCTGACAATCATTCCATTTCACTCATATCACCTTCATAACGTTATTCCCCTACTATAGTTAGTGCTATTCTTCATTCTCTGACCACAAATAACGATGAGAGTCATAGAAGCACCCCAGATAGCCTTTTAAAGCCACGTCGCCAACTTCGTATAGGAGCTTTTAACGTCAGGACCCTCTGCCAAATCGAACAACATGCATCACTAGCAAGAACTCCAGCATCTCGAGCCATGGATGTATGTTGTGTTTCGGAGACAAGCATACAAGACCCGGGTGTAGTAATTCACTTAACCTCACCCGGTCAACAAGGTGAATCTGCAGAATTCACTTTGAGGGTGTCTGGAGACCCCTCAGCTGGCTCGTGAGGACTCGCAGGTTTAGGGATAGCATTGAGTGTTAGGGCAGAAAAATCACTTCTTGACTGGATCCCAGTAGATAGTCGTATGTGTGCGCTCCGTTAGAAGAAGGAAGGACGGCGTTACCCGTCTTTGTATTTCCGTAGTCTCCGCTAACGCCCCAACAGACTGCGGTTCGGATGAATTAAAGGATGACTTCTACCTGAAACTGTCTAATTTGCTGCAAAAAGTAAAACGTTCAGATATAGTTGTTTTAGCAGGCGACTTCAATGCCCAAGTAGGGAAGTTGTACCGGATTGAGATGTAAATGGTACATATGGAGTTTCCTGCCGACGAACCGATAACGGTGATCGTCTTCTACAGTTTTGCTCAGATAATCATCTGTTCCTAGTCAGCACTAACTTGAGGCACAAAGAGAGACATTGTGTAACCTGGCGACCTCCATCACCAAATCAATTCTGGACTAAGATAGCTATAGGGTATAGTTGGCGAGGGTCAGTAGAAGACTTTCGCTCCTTCTGGAATACGTGCGTAGACTGATCACGCTCTGGTTCGCGCACATTTATGCTTACGACTAAATGGACATAAGAAATTGACGGCAGCGAAACAGTTACGTCCCCAAATAGATCGAGACACTGAGTCCTTATTTTAAGGAAGAAATAGCGACAGAGTTTCTGAGGTCGACAGCAGGACTTCCCTTGAGGTAGTCTGGCACAACATACAGTTAGCTGTAGACACAGCTGTGAAAGCTGTGCGTCGGTGGCACAGTGGTTAGGACTCTCGCCGACCATGCACATGGTCCGGGGTTCGAGCACGCACCGACGCACATCTGATATCTATGGTCGGCCTGCAAAATTTGGGCTACCGATATCCATGCTGAAAATTCCATACTTGTACCGAAAATACAGTGTGGAATCAAGCTGTAAATCAAAAATCAAAAATAAAAATAATGAGATAAAATTAAAAGTTTGTAAAAGCCACTGGATCTCTACCGCCTCACCTGAACTGATTGACGTAAGAAGACTGATTCCAGCGAGCTCCGATTATTATGAGGAGCGAAAGCTACTCAAATGCAAACTAACAAGAAGCCTTCGTAACGACCGTGAACAGTGGTGGGTGACAAAAGCGAAAGAGATGGGGAAAGGCATCGGTGACTGGTAACACCAGACAGCTATTTAGGCTTATCAGGGAAACAGGTGGTAAAAGGCAAGCGAGAAGTGAAACAATCCCTGAGAAAAATGGCACTATAATTAGCTCACAGGATAGATGACTGGAACGCTGGAAGGAGCACTATGAGGAGCAGTTTAATTGGCCCACAGCCACGCTCAACCTGCCAAACATACAACACCTCCCTGAATGGGATATAGACAGAGGTCCTCCGTCCGTAACTGAAGTTACTAAAGCTGTCACTAGTCTGAAACGACGCAAAGCAGCGGGACCTGATGGAATGATTCCAGAGGTATTTAAGTACGGTGGTGACAGTTTACTGTCTGCATTAACTCAGGTTCTAGGCAGCATCTGGGAATCAGACGAAGTCCCATCGGGTTGATGTAAATCACTGATCATCCCGATGTACAAGAAGAGAGACAAGTCTTCCTGTGATAATCACGGGGGGATTAGCTTGATTAATATAGCATCTAAAGTTCTGGGCTCAATAATCATACATAGACTAAGTGATCCACGGAAGGAACAAACACGAGAGAACTAGGCAGGCTTTGGACCAGAAAGAGGGTGTATTGATCATATCTACACCCTTCGATGGATACTCGAACATACGAATTCCTACCGGCGTCCAACAATCATTATATTTCTTGACCTAAAGGCAGCATTCGACTCTGTCGATCGAGAAGTTCTCTGGAGATGCTTGGCTGTAAAGGGAGTCCCGAGAAAATACATTGCACTGATTAAAACACTCTACTCGTACTCATACACAGCCAGGTGAAGGCTTAAGGTGGGTTGTCATCTGAACTGGTGACAAGTAGTGGTGTCCAACAGGGATGCTCACTATCCCCGTTTCTATTCAATTTCATCATAGATGTACCAACGGACTTAAGCCTAACTGACTTCAGAGACTCAGGGATTAACTTGTTACTAAGGTATAGTCTCGTCGACTTAGAATATGCAGATGATATAATCCTTCTAAGTGAAGACGCTGACAGATTGCAACCTGCGAATGTTTGGCATGCGATTTGCTCCTGCCAAATGTAAGATGATGCTACAGGAATGGACTACATTGACTCGTAGGTTAGAAATAGAGAGTGAAGTGGTTAGTGGAGCGTGTTGACCGCTTCAATAATTTGGGAAGTTGCAGTAGCCAGCGCCAACAATCGCCGACGAAATCTCAGCACGGATACAGAGGGTTAGTTTCGCATATGCCAGTTTACGCCGTCTCTGGTTTAGTAGACGCTACATCTGGTCGGTTGTCAACCAAAGGACATGTGTACTGCTCAGCAGTACTCTTCGTCCTTTTTTATGGCTAGCTGTGACTCCTGATCACCGAGAGTGGAAGACATTAAGCGCCTGGTTAGCTGTCTTTGGTCATAGGTGCCTGTGCTAGTGTGAAATAGTATAGCAGAGTGAGTAATATTTAGGTTAAGCTTCGGTTGAGTGGTAGGTAAGGAGGGGGGAAATCAATCTACGCGGCTGTGAAGTTGCATCGACTGAGATAGTTAAGACATGTGTTACGAATGCATGTCCAGCCATCGCCTTCTTCGAATGGGCTATGTTAGCTGACATAACGTCAGGGTGAAAAAGAGCCAGTTGTGGTCAAAAGAAAACATGTCTGCATCAGTCATTGAAATCCAGAACAGTTAGTTTAGGCCAACCAGCGACGTGGGAAGGCGTAGACTTCCTGGTTGGTTGGGGTCCTTGGGACGGTAAACACCCATGAAGGCTGGAGACAACTGGTGATACGGCTCAAAATCGTTCTCAATGGCTATCGCAGACGTATCAACTAATTCTGATTTATAATTTCCAGTGAAACTATATTGTTCTTCGTTATTACTATTCCTTTTGTCTGATATCCCTGTCTACTGTCTCTATTATGCATTTCTTCTCTTGCTTTACGTGCTACATGGAGGGAGTGTGGCGGCTTGAACTGGCGCACATCGGTGCAAAGTTCTATGTCGAAAACAGACAGACAGCATATATATATTAGGTGATAGGTTCCTAGTTGGTTCGTTGCCAGAATTCCGTGTTGTTAATCCTATCTGGTCAGCCATCTGATGATCTTCAGTATCGAATGGAAGAAGGCAGCTGTTGATAAAAGTATGCAGTAGCCTGTTGGAATGTGTTTTTGTAGCGCACTAGGTCTCTGAGCCATTTAAAAGTCTAATGAAAATATGTAAACTTGACCTAATCCTTTATACACTTTAGACAATTAAATATGAGCGAAATTTGAAAAATTCCACTTATCTCATGGAAAGCATTCTGGTGACCTGAAAGACTTATATACTCCTATATTTGAACAGGATAAAGAATTGAACATCTAAAGCAACAGTTAATGATGGCAATCAGTATTATGTGGGATAAAATATGCTCATATTGTATGTTAGCGACAGAGTCGAAAAGGTTCACTGACTACAGTGCATCGACTCCATTATGAATAAGATTTTATTTTGGCATATCACATATTATGATGACATATTATAGTAGCTACTATGATATCTACATTATTTGATATATCACACAGTGTTTTTGACAGTAACATTAACTGATGCGACCACATTTCGAGCACAAACTATTGCTACTCATAATCATATCAAGTCACTCACTCACACCACCACTTCTTACTTCATTTATATACATGAGTGGAATTGATGATTAGACATTTGAATAAAAATCAAATAATATAGGATAATGTACATTCAGGATTATTAATATGAGTGTTATTGATCAATTACAGTCAGATGGGAAAGAAGACGAGTGTTTTTATAGTCAAAATAAGTAACCTGTTATCCTTATATATAATAATATAATTTACAAAACACGTTGCAATGACCTTGACTGAGGTCAGTGACATAGGCCAGAGTAGTAGGTCAAGAGTAGCGAGATTGTCAGAACATAAGAATTTGACTAAGGTAAGAATGGTCGACCCCGAGAAGATAAGTAATTTAGAAAAAAACTCAGCGATTGCACTGCATGCATTAACACACAATAGGGTAATAGAGGGTTAATGTTCTAAGGAATAATATAGGTAGGTGGAGAGAGTGATTAATGAATCCTGGTTCATCGAGTCTACACCCAACACAACACAGGCAACAGAAATGACTCAATGCAAATACCAGTGATATGGGAGATATTACCACCAGTCAGTCAAATCAGAGGAGGATAATAAATAATCTTAAAATTTTACTTCAATTGAATTCACGTACATCACAACATTCTAACAAGTTACTTATTTATTTTGATTATAAAAACACTCGTCTTATTTCCCATCTGATTCTATTTGATCAGTAACACTCATATTATTATTATTATTTCTGAATGTACATTATCCCATAGTGATTTTTATTCCACTATCTAATAGATTCCACACATGTATATAAATGACGTAAGAAGTGGTGGTGTGAGTGAGTGAGTGACTTGATATGATTACGAGTAGCAATAGTTTGTTCTCGAAACGTGGTCGCATCAGTTAACATTATACTGTATAACACTGTGGTTTATCAAAATAAAATCTTATCTATAATGGGATCATACTCTACCGCAGTGCTCAAGTTTTATACTTACATCAATAAAGTGCACTAACTTTTATATAAAGAGATAGAGACAAGTCTAAGCAGGAACTTTGGGATTAGATCGAATCAATTTACAGTATAACTATTTTTGTAAGCAAGTGAATATTTAGAACCTCCAATTTCTACAGCACAAAATCAGCATATTTGGAGACGTTGAAAGGTGTGGTGTAAATTTTCATTCCACTAACCGTGCACGTGTATCTATGATACATAACAAAAGCTGAGTGAGTATTTATGAAATGTCAACTGTATATATGTGTATATATATATATTAATTACAATATTAGATGTAACATGCAGAGTACACCGTTATGTAACGCCTCCCCTACCACATGGGGTTAAATTAAGATGAATTTACAAGGATGATAAGTGTCTCGGAAGAAAGAAGAATTCTTTAATGATAAGCTTTGAAATCAAATTGAATTTAATACATGGATTATGATGAAATTGTCTTGTCAGTAGGAAATTCCATAAATTGATAGTACACCATCATGTGATCCGGAGGATATCTGCAAAGAGAGAAAGACAAAACTGTTGTCAGTTAGCTGTAACTTTTGAAAATAACAATCAGTTGAGTAGTTTCGTGGAAATAGCGTCAGATCTCCAAGATATTACACAGACAAATTCTTATTTATACGGTCAAAAGAAAACGGCTAGAGTGTCCTTTTGTTGTTGTCATCAAGTGACTTATGTATCACCTCATATATGATAACTAATTTCACTAAATTGAACAAAGCAAGAACTACAGTTTTAGCAGAATTAAATAGTACCAACTTTTATTTCGTTGCCTTCTCGTCATCTGCTTACAGGGCAAAGACATTATTAAATATATCTACAAAAATAATTTTAGCATACTTGCACAAAGTTTATGTCTACGATTTTCTGAACATGTACCAAAACGCTTACGTCTAAAGGGAACAAATGCTTTAAACAGTGCCATCGCCAGGCATCTCCTCGACGCGGGTCATTAGGTGGATGTCGATAAGTCGTTCAAAATTATCAATAGGCAAAAGAGATCAATTCTCCTGAAGTTTGCTGAAGCCATTTCCATCAAGCACCTGAAACCTGATTTATGCGTCTAGAAAGAAGCGGTTATCAATCTTTCTTTGCCCTGCTAACTGGATATTTTTCATCCGAATGTGAAATGCTGAAAAGTTTCCATTGTGTATGATTATTATTCTTCGGAATAGTGTTTAATATTGCATATATATATATATATATATATATATATATATATATATATATATATATATATATGGTGGTCTCTCTTTCTGTTGCTCTCTTAATCTGTGACCATTTCACTTTGATGAACCTGTCTCCTTTAACAATGTATATTCCCCTTATATTACATATAAATTGTGTGTGTTGTTTGACAGTCTGATATATTTTGCTATGTATATATGGATCGATATTCCATTATAATTAGCCAATCATGTTAAGACTGTCTATTGATTTGTTCATTTTGAATATTCGCTCTCACACTTGTGTTCACACACTTGTTCGGACATTCATATATTTTTGCTCTCCCACTCTTGTGTGACATTTTGATTCTCTTGGTGTTTTGGAAAATAGAAGTATCATCGCAAACCTAGTGGTCTTCTGATTTCAGTCTTTCTTGCGTCAGGACTATTAAATTCTCGACCAGTACATAACAATAATTTGGCGACGAGTACATAACAAACTTCAAGTCTATTACTTAAGACCTTAAATCCTAATCACCTTCACACTTTAATATTCTGTTATTTTTATGATAAACGGTATTTTACGAGTTGATTATGGATTGGTATTAGTTAGAGAGCCATTGAAAACCGGGGAGTAGAAGTTAGAATTCATGCACTGGCCATTGAATAGGGTGGATCCCGGTGGCTGAATGGTATACCAGCTAACTAGCCTTGTAACCGAAAGGTCCTGGGTTCGAACTCCCCTGTGGTGGGTGCGTACCGACGATGATTCCCAAACTAGGAAGAAACAGCTGTCCAGTACTCCAGTGCTGGTTTTCCAGTGGTTCTCTAACTGATATCAATCCGTGATCGACTCGTAAGAACACAACTAACCCTTACAAACCAACTATAGAAAGAAAAACAGTATTGTTTTTCTTTTATTATAAGTTGATTCCACACCGTATTTTTGAATTTTCAGCATGTCACGTCGGTAGGCCAAATTTTGCAGGCCGACCATTAATATAAAGTGTGTGTCGGCAGGGGGGTCGAACTTCAGACCATTTGCATGGTCGGCAAGTGTCCTAACCGCTGTGCTACCGATGCACAGACTTCTAAGTGCTGACTGGAGATCTCTGTATCCAAAAGAAACTGGTAAAAATTCACATCGTCGAACTGTGTAATTTATGAATTGCAAATTTGATTCAAGTTTGTCCAAGGAACTGTTATAACAGAGTGTTACCAGTGTGCAGCTGTCGTCCAACTTGACTAGAATGCGAGTTCAGTCACGACTTTGTAGCTAAATGATCACCTGAAAACATTCTCCACACTGAGGTAGACACAAAAGTCAGATTTAACTGCGACAATATATATATATATATATATATATGATGGCCAACCGTACTGAATGAAGCTCATTACGTTACTTATTATAACCAGCTACCTTCACCCTTGCATGGCTGACAAGGCTACAGATTTAACAGCCTTTATTAAAACTCTTTTCGCATCCGCATCGACAGAACCTGCAGCTACCATCATTTCTTCGTTTCCCAGCTTATGACTTTTAAGAAAGCGCGCAAAAGTGCATCAACCTGATCTAAATTATGTGTAGACTTGTACTTTATTTTGAGAATTATAACCCAAAAGGTTAACTGTCCACCAGTTAGGCTGATTCGCTGTGTAAACTGGAATTTTTTTTCTTAGAAACGAGAAATGACAACTAATAACGATAGTTTGTCCGTTGTTCTAACAGGAACTAACCAGAATTCGAGTGGTTTGAATTGACTCAGCTTTCTGTGCTCAGTTAAACAGGATGTAATTTGAAAAAAATGGCGAATTTAACTTGCAGATTGTGGGTCTAATCTGACTAGAAATCATCACTGTGACCGGCCCCAAACAGTTGTCCCCTTGGCTCTGCGGTCACGCAACCAACTTTCACGGTGTGTGCAGCCGGGAAGTAACAATCGCCCTCACAATCCAAAACGCAAGCGAAACCTCTCTATTACTCACTCATCTTTGTTTTCATCTTCATCTCTATCATCTTGCCTTCCTTCCACTGATGCAACTCCTCGACTTGATAGCTCTCCACTTCCTCTCCACTCTGCGTCCACTAAAAACGATGGAAGCCAAAAAACCACCACCGACAGCCTCTTAAAGCCACGCCACCAATTTCATATAGGAGCATTTAATGTTAGGACACTTTGCCAAATAGGACAACAAGCATCACTAGCCAAGACCCTGGCATCCGAGCCATTGATGTATGTTGTGTTTCAGAAACACGCATACAAGACCCAAGTGTGGTTATTCACCTAACCCCACCTGGCCAACAGGTTGAATCTGCAAAATTCACCTTGAGGGTGTCAGGAGATGCCACAGCTAGTTCACGAGGATTAGCTGCCGTAGGGATAGCTTTGAGTACTAGGGCAGAAAAGACATTGCTTGACTGGATCCCGGTAGATAGCCGAATGTGTGCTGTCCGCCTGAACGGGTCAGTAAAAGGAGGAAGGACTGCACTACTCGCCGATGCCTTTTCGTAATCTCCGCCTACGCCCCCACTGACTGCAGTTCAGATGAAACGAAGGATGAGTTCTACCAAAAGCTGTCTAGTTTGGTGCGAAAGGCTAAACGCTCAGACATAGTCGTTCTAGCTGGTGACTTTAACGCTCAAGTAGGGAAATTGTGTCAATCTGAGAAGGATGTCGGTGGCACCTATGGAGTTCCGTGCCAGCGAACCGACAACGGTGACCGTCTCCTACAGTTCTGCTCTGATAATCATTTGTTTCTTGTAAGCACTAACTTTAAACACAAGGAGAGACACTGTTTGACTTGGAGACCCCCTTCATCAAACCAACGCTGGACACAAATAGACCACATAGCAATAAGCTATCGTTGGCGTGGGTCGGTAGGAGATTGTCGCTCCTTCTGGAACACGTGTGTAGATACCGACCACGCACTGGTCCGCGCTCGTGTGTGCTTACGACTGAACGGACGTAGGAAACAGCTGGCGGTAAAACCATCACGTCCCCAGCTCGATCAGGAAACTAAATCCCTATTTGAGGAAGAACTAGCTAAACACATATCTGTGTTCGACAGCTGTGCTCACCCTGAAGAAGCTTGGAAAATATCCAGGCAGCCATAGATACAGCTGTAATTAAGATAAACCCAAAGGTGAGTAAAAACCACTGGATCTCCACCGCCTCATCCGAACTGATAGATGCTAGAAGACTTATTCCGGCGAGCTCCGAATTCAATGAGGAGCGAAAGCTGCACAAAGGAAACTTACGAAAAGTCTCCGCAAGGACCGTGAACAGTGGTGGTGACAAAAGCCAAAGAGATGGAAAAAGCTTCGAGGATAGGCAACACCAGGCAACTCTTTAGACTCATCAGGGAAACGGGTGGGAGAAGACAAATCATAGTGAAACAATCTCGGAAAAAATGGCACTATAATTAGCTCCCAGGATAGACGACTGGATCGCTGGAAAGAGCATTATGAGGAGCAGTTTAATTGGCCCACAGCCACGCTCAACCTTCCGAACATCCAACACCTCCCTGAATGGGATATAGACACAGGTCCTCCGTCCTAACTGAGGTTACTAAAGCTGTCACCAATCTGAAACTAGGCAAAGCAGCGGGACCTGATGGAATGACTCCAGAGGTATTTAAGTACGGTGGGGACAGTTTACTGTCTGCATTAACTGAGGTTCTAGGCAGCGTCTGGGAATCAGAGGAAGTCCCATCGGGTTGGTGTAAGTCACTGATTATCCCGATATACAAGAAGGGAGACAAGTCTTCCTGTGATAATCACAGAGGGATTAGCTTGACTAATATAGTATCTAAAGTCCTAGGCTCAAAAATCATGCGTAGACCAATTGGTGCTCGGGAGGAACAAACACGAGAGAGCCAGGCAGGCTTTAGACCAGGAAGAGGGTGTATTGATCATATCTTCACCCTCCGACAGATTCTAGAACATAGGCATTCTTACCGGCGTCCAACAATCGTCATATTTCTTGACCTAAAGGCGGAATTCGACTCTGTCGATTGAGAGGTTCTCTGGAGATGCTTGGCTGTAAAGGGAATTCCGAGAAAATACATTGCACTGATTAAGGCACTCTACTCGTACTCATACAGCCAGGTGGGGGCTTACGGCGAGCTGTCATCTGAACTGGTGACGACTAGTGGTGTCCGTCAAGGATGCCCATTATCCCCTTTTCTATTCAACTTCATCATAGATGTACTAATGGACTTAACCCTAAGTGACTTCAGCGACTCAGGGATTGACTTGCTACCAGGGAATAATCTCGTTGACTTAGAATATGCAGACGATATAGTCCTTCTAGGCGACGACTCTGACAAAATGCAGAGTCTTCTAAACACCTTGAGCTCCAATCTACGAATGTTTGGCATGCGATTCGCTCCCGCCAAATGCAAGATGATGTTACAGGACTGGACTACATCGACGCCTAGTTTAAAAATAGGAAGTGAAGTGGTAGAGCACGTTGACCGCTTCACTTATTTGGGAAGTACCATCAGCCAGTGACAACGGGTTGATCTCTGACGAAATCTCAGCACGAATACAGGGGGCTCGTTTCGCATTTGCCAGTTTACGCCGACTCTGGCGTAGACGAGATGTTCGACTATCGACCAAAGGGCGGGTGCACTGCTCAGCTATCCACTCCGTCCTCCTTTATGGCTGTGAGACCTGGCCACTGAGAGTGGAAGACATGAAAAGATTAGCTGTCTTTGATCATAGGTGCCTGCGTTCTATCTCCCGTGTGAAGTGGTATAATGAGGTGAGCAATATTGAGGTTAGGCGTCGAGTTCTAGGTAAACAGGGGAAATCAATCGACGAAGTTGTGAAGTTACAAAGACTGAGATGGTTAGGACATGTGTTACGTATGCCTAGTCATCGCCTCCCTCGACGAGCTATGTTAGCGGATATAGGGTCAGACTGGAAAAAAGCTAGCGGCGGTCAAACAAAAACTTGGCATCAGTCAATGAAATCCACAACAGTTGGTCTAAGCCACGTAGGAAGGTGTAGACTTCCAGGCTGGGGTCTTCGGGACGGTAAAAATCTATGGTTGGAAACAATTGGTGATATGGCTCAAAATCGTTCTCAGTGGCGCAGATGCATCCACTCCTTGTGACTTTTCATCTCCAATGAAACTGTTTTGTTTTTCTTTATTACTCCTTTGTCTCACACATCTGCTCACTGTTTCTATTATGCTTTTCTTGTACTTTCTTCTCTTGCTTCGCGTGCTACACGGAGTGTGGCGACTTGAACTGGCGCACATTTGTGCAAAGTTCTATGTCGAAAACGGACAGACAGACAGACCAACCACTTCACTCCCTATTTCTAAGCTAGGAGTCAATGTAGTCCAGTCTTGTAGCAATGTCTAGTTTAACAGTGAAACGTTCGCCAGAGAAAAACTTAATTTTAACATTTACACCTTACGATATTCTAGACTATTTTTGAATAAGAATTTCCCATTGCGAAATCCTACTATTTTCGGGTGATTATAAATTCCAAAGTAATGTCAAGCTGAATTGTAAATCTGCGTATACTGGTAAATGCTTTTCCGTTGTAACCATTCTCTATAGAAGACTGTCAAAAACTATGTGTATGAATTAACATGAATCTGGTTATCCTGGATGGTTTTTTGAGGGTATTTAACTTACTTCAGGCCTCAATGGATGCCAGTCAACAACAGTAGCTGGACTACTGACACGTGATTCAACGTTTAATACAGCTAAAGGATGTGTACTAGGCTTGCGTATATCATATATAATAGGCGAGGGTTGATTGGCATCGGTTGTACCACCTGCTAATAATTTTGTACCACATGGACTAAACACTGCTGTAACTGGAGGGACAAGTGGATTTCTACTTGCTGCACTACTTGTTGTTATTGTGGCATCAGTTGGAAATCGAACCAGCTTAATCACAGGATATCGATTTTCTCTTAGATCCCATATTCGTATATTATCTTTTGGAGCAACTGTAGCGTAGACAGTATATCCTGTACCAAGGGTAGCAGTATTTGTAGAACTTTCATTAGTATTGCAGAAACTTGAATACAATGATCCCTAAAATGATCAAAAATATAAACAAACCACCAATGCAAAAAAGATAATGAAAAACAACATAATAATATTTAAGTATTGGTTTGCAAGGATTTGATTGATTGGTTACAGGATTTCATCATGAGCTGACATTGTGATTAGAGAACTTAAATATTGATGAGATGCTCACTGGCGACTCGCCCTATTCAGGTAGGTAGTTACTTTGGGTTCTAGTGAGAAGTTGTGATCAGTAGGTTGCAGCAGGTCGGGTGTGAGGACAAATACTCGCCGAAGACGTTGGCTAGCTGTCGTGCTATGTCGTGAATTGGCAGAAGTTACAATTCATGGGCTAGCCATTGGATCGGGTCCCAGTGGCCTAATGATCTAGGATCTCAGTGGTCTTGTAACCAGAAGGTCATGGGTTCGAACCCCGATGGGTGCTTACTGCCTATGAGTCCAAAACTGGGAGGAAACAACTGTCGAGCATTCCCAGGTTTTCCAATGGTTCTCTAACTGATGTCAGCTCATGATGAAATTCTGTTACCAACATAATATTTGGCCAAGTTAAACTTTAAGCACCACTAACTACCAATCAGCGAACGACGTTGAATTGTCCGCTGAGATTCATGAACGTGAGTTCATTGTTGTATAGCGCTTAATTCGTTTCAAATGTGTGCCTTAACGAGGTTACAGTTGCAATTCGAGGAGGATAATGTTTCCCAGTACTGCCTGGATTTAGGGTTCCTTAGGAAGGAGAGAATTTGTTCGTTTGGTGGTGTGATGACTTTAAAAAGCTCTAGCAGGTCGACTGATGGATATGTCCATCGTTGTGCAATTTGTTTGAGGCGACTTAGCATTAGAAAAGGTAAGCTGATAATTTTAATATTTCGTAGGAACTTTTTTTGCAGGGTCGCATCTCTCCTTAACGCAAATTTTGTATATTTGCAACAACTGGGCCTTAAAACAGCCGGTGAGAACCACAGCTGCTGAAACCGAGAATAGACTTTTCTCAACAGTTCAGTGGTATCAGCACTGCAGAGACATTGCATCATGGAAAATGGAGAAAATTACTTCGTTGTTGGGTGGAGAAGACATCGTTGTGCACGTCGACGAAACTGTGTTGCTGAAGAAAAACTACAACCGCGGTCGTCAGCGAGCCTACAATATTTGGGTAATTGGTTTATACGACACCTCCCTCCGAAAAGGATTCGTGGAAAGAATAGCAGATAGAAAGGCAACTACTCTAATACCTATTATTACCAGACTTGTGAAACGGGGATCAATAAAACATACTGATGAATAGAAGGGTTATAACTCGCTGTCATCTCTTGGATATATTCATCACAAAGTGAACCATTTAAGTGATTTTGTGGATCCAACTACAGGGACACACACCAGTTCTATAGAATGATTTTAGGGAAGATTGAAAATAGGATATGGGCTATGAATGGATCTCGAATTGATGTGACTTATAGTCATTTGGATGAATACATGTACATAATGTGGTGTGACTTCCTTATTGACAGTCCTATGCTTAACTGAGAGATGTTTCTCTCACATGTTAGAGAAAGACACTCCCTGTAACAGTTTTATGCTTTTTTATGCTTTCTTCCATAAATACACGTTTTCCCTTATCAAACATCCCTCTTTCATGTGATTGTCCCGTTCAAGGTCGTTTGCAGATTGGTTGTTAGTGGTGCGGAAAGTTCAACTTTCCTTAGTATTTACACTAGCAGTAAAAGTTAAATGAATTATAATGCTTCTTTAAGTCGATTGTTTTCTTCCCGTTATCGTTCGGCGCCTATTGACATGTTGGCTCTTAGAACGGACGCTTCAGAGATGTTTGAGGATCAAAATAATGTCCAGGAAACAATACTTTGGTGTTTGAAACTATGGTGACTAGGTTCACGTCTCCGTGGAAAGGGTATCCACCGCTGGGGATTGCAGGAATATCCAGTCGACGACTCCCGAGCAGGACGAAATCCACATGCTGAATTCAACTGCTAGTCATCATCCGCCAAATAATAGAATAATAATAATTTGCTTTATTGCAAAACAGTACTTGTGAGACAGAATGGAATTCTCAGAATTTCACTACAGTATTGCATCCAGTTAGTACATTAACAGTTAATAAAATTCTACATAGATCAAGGGTAATCTCAGTTAATTTTGACAACAACATATTGGCATATCGGTAGCAAAGCCAACATTGAACAGAGTGTTTGAAGGTGTTAGAAAAGTAAATCCTAGCGTATTTACTGGCGTAAGCGGTAACAAACAGGTCGAGATATACAGAGTGTGAAAGAACGAAGAAGAATGTTTTCAGTAGAGTTTGTAAGGAAGAGAGAAACAAAAGAGCACACAACAGAAAAAGAGAGAGAAAAGGAAAAGAAAGAAAGAAAACGTTGTACCTATAAATGATATGAGTTGGAAAGACGAGATCCAGTTGTTCTACTGACTATTTAATACGTTATAAGTTTCACGCCTAATGTTTTCTTTATCGCACAGAGCACGAGCCAAGTAGGGGTATGGTTGAGTTTTTGTACTTACTAGTGTGAGCATATAGTTTTCTATATAGGCTTCTGGTTTTGCCTGATGAGATACAACAAGGGGAGAATTGTGAATGAAGAGGGTGGTGTGAGTTAGATAGATAGAATGGATTTAGCCCATTTTTCACATGAGTCCAAGTGTCTGTCGACCAGAATATTAACAAGCTGGTTAAGTGACACGTTGATTACCCTGCGGAAAACCTTTAACATCCTGCGTAATAAGGCATAGTCTTTCTTCAGTAGCCCTGGAAAAACTAAGGGGGAACAATAGAGAATAATAGGTAGGATGCAAGAGTTAACAAATCGTAAGAGTAAGGGCTGGGTTGGGTTATTCCAGAATGTCTAATTTCATGATGTAGAAGGTAAGACAGAATATTTTCTTAGAAATCATCAAGATATGAGACGACCAGGAAAGATCAGCAGATAAAATGACGCCAAGATAATTTAATAATAATAATAACAATAATAATTTAATTTCCGACTTGGTTTCTATTATAGTGCTATCAAAACTAACGAGGATATCAAAGCAAGGATCGGGAAAGCAAGACAAGCCTCTCATTACTCTCAAGTCTGTGTAGAGATCAACAGCACTCAACATGAAAATAAGATCCGGATTATCAACTCCAATGGGAACTCAGTGCTACTATACGGATCAGAGACTTGGCGCATCATAAACAGAATCTCAAACAAACTACAGATCTTCATTAACATCTTTCTTTGTTCAAGATTAGATGGCCAGCCAGGAAAGATCAGCAACAGGGATCTCTGGCAATGAGCAAAACAACACAGCAGGAACCGATTGTACAACAAATAGGCAGGAAGAAATGGAGGTGGATTGGAGGCCATACTCTGAGGAAACCATCAAGTGACATCACTAGACAAGCCATCGCTCGAGTGGAATCCGGAAGGGAAACGGCGAGTCGGTCGTCCAAGGGTGACACGGAGGAGGTCATGTGAAGAGGAGATGAAAGCATGTGGGCAGATTTGGAGCGGGGTGAAAAAACGTTGGAAGAGGACCGAACGCAATGGAGACACGCGGCTGAGGCACCATGTTCATCTAGGAATTAAAGGATATAATAATAGCTAATGTGTTTGCTAGACAAATTAAAGTGTATGACATCACACAAATACACTTTAAATACCTGAATTCATAATTGATCAATGAGTGGGCACTATTAAGGCATGTGCTACTGACAAAATTTATCAGTAGTAGTGTATAAAGAGACGTTCATCGATTAGCACAAAAATATCAAATAGCGGAGGGGCAGATCTAACGTCAAAGACAGGAAATCAACCAGTATTTCGAGAAAACATGGTAGACATGAAAAGAAGGCAAAGAAAGATAGTACGAAGGATAGAGGTGGCAGCACAACACGGAATATCTGTGCAAATGATGACTTCAACATATGTGGCATACATAATTCCCCTATATGTGTGCATATCAAATTGCAAACAGACATTCTCTTGGCCTCTCCCATTTTACACGATTACCTGATTTAATGCAATCCCTGTTATACACTGATTATGCGCTGATTTAATTTCTTGAACAATCTGTCCACAGTTTAAGTCTAAAATCGACAAACGACGATCTGATCCCGCACAGAGAATTAGATCTGAGAAAAATTTAGGAAAAAGAGGAATATATATTATTACTAGTGTCCGTTGAAAATCAATGTGTGAAATAGATGAAGGTTTATCTTTTTAATTTGGTCTATTCTCCCATGTGACTTTTGTGTATCCGGAATGTTTTTACGAGTTGATCACGGATTGATATCAGTTAGAGAACCATTGAAAACCAGAACTAGAGTAAAGGACAGCTGTTTCATCCTAGTTTGGAAATCATCAGCAGTACACACCCTCCACCAGTGTTCGAACCCAGGACCTTCCGGTTACAACGCAAGCTAATATACCATTCAGCCACTGAGACCCGATTCAATGACCCATGAATTCTAACTTCTTCCAATTCGTGATATAGCGCGACCCTAACCAATGTCGTCGGTGGGACATCCATCCTCACACATGACATAAGCCATTGAATCGGGTCCCAGTGGCTGAATGGTATACAAGCTTGCCTTGTAATCGGAAGGTCCTGGGTTAGAACCCCTCTCGGTGGGTGCGTATTGCCGACAATTCCCAGACTAAGATGAAAAAGCTGTCCAGTACTCCAGTTCTGGTTTTCAATGGTTCTCTATTTGATATCGATCCGTGATCAACTCGTAAAAACATAACTGACCCTGACAAACCAGACTATAGAAAATATCCAGAATGTATTACAACATTTAAGAAGTTGATGTTGATTCTTAGTTTCAAACCAAAATATAGGATCATTCCTTGAAAACTTTGACAGTTCATTTCAGTTAACCCTCTACATGAAGAGGTATAGACTTCCAGGATGGGGTCCTCGTGATCCTAAGAAACAAAGGCTTGAAATCATTCTCAATGGCTTAGATGCATTCACCACCTTTCGGAATCGCTCATATCTAATAAACCGTCAATTTTTATTTCACTATGCAATTGAAAGATATTCATATACCTGTTTTCGTAGTTGGATAATCCATTTTTCACTAAAGGTTCTTTTGCAGCAAATTATGCTTCTTCAATAATATTAAAGCCCCTATTATTTTATTCTTTCGAGTTTCCAGTGGAACATAGGGCGGTTTCAAGCTAGAGCTTAGACGTTTCAATAGCAGTGGTGTTTGTTTTTACGGGGTAGGGTTGCTAGCCTTACACCCAACATTCCCTCTCTGCCTGGCATACTACCGGCTAAGCGAGGTTATGGAGTGTGTCGGCCGGAGATCGAACCCTGAGCCACTTACCTGGTTGGCCAGTGTTCTACCGCTGAAGTACCGACGCATATGAAAAGCCCTAGATAAAGTTTTATAGTATATTACAATTGTTCATTCAAGTATCCCAGTTTATATTACAGTCCTAATCATATAGATATTATCATTATTACCCATATGCAGTACAGTTGTCCTCCTTGTGTTCCTCGTGGAAAATAAGGGTTTAAGCGTTGATGTTTCAGGTGCGATAATGTTTCTTATCAGGGTGGGACTGCTAGTTACACGTTCAATTCCCCTTCTTTTCCAGTCTTACTGTCAGTTAGAAAACTTAGCGAGGTTTAGGAACGCCTCGACAGGGAATCGAACGTCTTCCATTTGGGCAGTTGAAAAGCATTCTATCACTGAAATACCGACGATGCACCTCGACTTCGAGTCAAGTATACAATAAGCAGTGTTGTAACTGAATGTTTATAATCATGTAAATTCGTCATTTTTCAAAGAGTAGGATCCGTATAACCGAAACAGTACGTTTGTATTCGTTTGCGGCATGTGCTACTTACACGATTTATCAGTACTATTTACATGCAAAATCGGGAACAGAGGTAGACGTGTGTGTTCCTCAAATCTACATTCAGTTTACGTTGTGATCAGGAAATAGCCACATTGGACAACTTTTCGTGTCAAGGTTTAACCTTCAGCAGATCAACAACCAATCAGAACAGCTTATTGTCTCCACTGTCTTAACTGACCTTAAATGTGATTAAAAATGTATACATACGGTGTGTTTTTCCTAAATAAAATAAGTCCGTCATCAAGTCTCTTGTTTTCACCCGTTAATTAACATGTTGATTAACAAGTAAACATTTATAGTTAGCTTCGGTGGCACAGCGGTTATGACTCTCGCCGAACATGCACATGGTCCGAGGTTCGATCCCCTGCCGACGAAGCACACCTGATATCTATGGTCGGCCTGTTAAATTTGGGCTACTGATATCACATGCTGAAAATTCCATACTTGTACCAAAAAATACGATGTGGAATCAACGTGTAATCAAAAATAAATTTTGAAAAAAGAATACTTTCTAAAGAACTCACATGAATAAAAAATATTTACAGATGCAATTGACGTTAATTGATTACAAGTTTGTATTGGAAATTCTCCAACTAGTTTATACGTATTATTTGCAAAACCTCTAAAGAGAAGAAATACACGAGACCAAATAACATTCAAATATTGACAGGAATCGAAAGTAGATTTGTGATAGGCATATCAAACATAGTGAATGTAATTCTTTAATACATAATAACTCACCACTAAGAAAGACGTGTATATCAAGCTACCACCCTGTATCAGTGATCATAGCAGCTTGACAACTAGACAAAGATTGAACGCTGCTGTGGTTAAAAAGACTTTTTATGCAGCTAATATCATAATAATTGAGAATGTGAAGTCGATATATCCATCTAAGCCCTTACTTAGAACATGCAAAAATGATGTCACATCCCAATATATTTACCAATTTAAGTATACGTGTGGATACACATACACAAGAAGGACTCATCGATCTCTGCAAGTAAGGCCTGGCTTCAGAGCATATTCCTAAATGGCTTCAGAAGCAAATAGAATCCCCAGAACTGATTAATGATGAGTACAGGCGACGTAGCTCCTCTATTGTGAAACATATGATAGAGACACGTATTTTAAACCTATCAAATGGAGTATGTGTCTAATTATTGATGGATGGTGACTGGCACTAGTGAAATCTAGCACAATGCGCATTTCGTCCTATTTGGGACTCTTCCGCTTAGGGAGGTGTTCTATAGCCTTCGTGATTATCCGCACTTATTGAACCCTGACAGTGGGTGCACGTACTGCTGATGAGTCACCAAATACAATGAAACAGCTATCCAATACTTTCTGCTGGTTTTCCAATGGTTCTTTAACTGGTGTCAACTCACGATCAAGCCGGTAACCAATCAAAACCCTGTGGTTACTGTGAATTCCATTGTAAAGAAAAAATATCAGATCTGTGACAATATCCCAAAGCATGATACTAAAGTATTGACGGGAACACAGGGGAACAGTTCAAATAACCTATAGATACGGGGTGTTTATTTCAAAGTTATTTGTATCCTGAGAATTACAGTCCTATAGTCTATGGTTTCTCAAATACAACTGTATGTATTACAATACTTTTGTTTAGTTTATTTTAGAACAGTATAAGGAACCACAAACTGCAAGTTAGATGATAAACGATTTGCTTAGCAATATGCATATGTGGCATTACTGTTAACCATAACATAAAAACTTTTATTGTCTGCGCGCATAACTTGACGGTGTCTAAAGAATAAACTTGTTTGCTTTATTAGCACAAATCGTCGTAGTAATGCATGAATGATCTACATAAATTTGTGTGAACTAAGTTTTTGAATAGCAATCACTCATGTACTCACTCAAACACGGCAGCTGGATGAAACTCTCAAAAGATCACGCAACAGAGTCTCTCATACTGATAACCTAATGTAGGGGATCAAAAAAATTCGTCAAATCGGTTGAACCTTCAACGATCAATTTGTTTATCTGTACAGATTGAAACACAGGGTGAAGTATTGGATTTTCAAGGGATAAAAGGTCGACAGCTTCGTTGTTATGCGATTGTTTGTCTCTACACGCTCTTCAAGTCATCATCGATAAATACACTTTTCAGCAGTCTTAAGTATTATATTCTCCCTTCTCTAGTTGAGGCGGTGTTAAGAACAGCCTGACCATCACCAGGTTAATTAGGACAGGCTAAAGAGTCAGCAGGTAGAGTGATCAGAGGGCAAAGTTAAACTTTAAGCCCCACTAACTTCCAATCAGCAAATCACCTCGAAAGCGCCGATCACGTGAAGGAGGCACTTTTGTGTATACAAAACATATCCTCTCATATGTGATAAAATTAGCTCTCAATTTTAGTTTGGAGTATCAACAGAGTATAATTCCATTAAGAGTAAAATTTATTTTGATAAAATCTCATAGTGTAATACAGTAATATTTACTGAGCAATAAATTGTGCTATTTCCTGAACCTAACCCTAACGTGAAAATATCCCTAAACCAACTATAATCGAACTCAAACCAAGCCTAATGTCACCTTTAGCAGGTTAACCTAACCCTAACTTGTTCTTGGCTTAAAGAGTAATTTAATCTTTCCTAAACCTAAGCTGAAACTTGCTAGATACTCCATTTAATAACATAACACTTCCATTAGCATATTTTATTGATGACGACAATATTATTTGCAGGATTTCACTAATTTGCCAAGTGAGAGTTTCAAGGTCATTGGTGTGGTCGCAGTCCACTGGTAGTTAGTGGTGCTTAAAATTTAACTTGGCTGGTCAGAGCTTAGATCTAACAGGATAGATGACCACACAGCAGTCATGAGCGTACTCCTAGTCGATCATAACTGGAAGCGAGCTTGAAGTCGTCCAAGCAGCCTAACTAATTAGTTCCCTAGACTAACAACCGTCACTATGATTCCGTCTGGTTGTTTTTTTATAACCTCAACCACTGTTCCAACATACCATATCACAGTAACATAAAAATTGCTTTAGAACTATTCAAAAATGACACACACAAAACAACTAAACGTTTATTAACATGCCGGTGACTTTTAATCTAATTTTGAAACGATGGGTCCTGGGTGTAACGGAAAAATTACTTGGAAAATCCCTCCTGGATGCTCCAGTCAAAATATTTGTACTAATTTGGATGTTGCAATTAACTTTGTGATGATTAACCCGTTTTTACTCCTAGACTGTATATCGCCGTTCTGACATCTGCATATTTCTCTTTGTGCCCGTGTAATCTCTAACTTAAATACTTCTCATTGTGGTTTTGTGATGCTTTGATAATGCGTTGTTGTACGATGTGATTTAATTTGTGTGAATCAAGGTCATTCGGACTTTGTATTGTCCATGGTAAGCGTTGGTGTGTGATTCTTGTGGAGAGAGGTTTTGATCCCACCTTGTTGGGAATATTTCACTTGATTCTGAGAAATCAATTTTTACTTAAACTGAACTGTAAAGCTGCCTGACGGAACTGCTGAGGTAATTTTGAGTTTTTGATGTTATTCTTCTTATTATTATTATTGATTAATAGAACCGCAAATTTATTCAAGAATAATCATTCCTTTTTCCTGTCTTTGAAGCGTTTCGTGACTGCATGTGTCTATAAGAAGTTTTGTCAACTATCCACAGTAGGACACAAAGATCAACTGCGTGCGCCTAGTGCGCGCGTCACCACCAATCAGTTTCGGTTGTAACACTGAGTTCGAGGTTCAAAGGGAACACAATCACTCACTGGGAATGCAGGCACATCCAGCTGGTGAGTCCAAAACAGGATGAAATGCACATCCCAGCTGCCACTACCAGTCATCATCATCCAAAGTGACTTCTCTATCACTATGGTGAGAGCTGGCTGCTAGCCAAAATTGGTAGACAGTAATTTACGTCAAGGTTTACTTTCGCAATATTACTCGTGAGGAAAATAAGAACAAAGAGTGATTCAACAACCAACCACAGCATACTTTGCGTAGGAGGATGCAATTTGCAGATAGGTAGTCTGAACTACAATAAGCGGCCACAAAGAGATGAAAGATTAACGTTCAGCAAGAAACAACCAATCAGAAGACTGTGTTTATTTGCCTACAATAATCTATAATAATGTACACGAAAATCTATAAATATCTGTTGATTTCCTAAATAAATGATCTGTTGCTTGGCCCTTGTCTTCTGTTGTTACACTACTACTAAGGAAGGAAAAAAAATATCCATACAAAGATTCTAAACATCTCGACTGGCATAGAAATACACACTTGATAGAAGAGCAGGAGAAAAAGAACAAAAACACGAATACACAACTTACTTTTCAAGAATATTCTTATTATCTGATGATAGGCTATAGGAATACAATCGGATAATATTTTGACTGACTAAATATACAAATGAATCCATGTAATAGAAATTTCCAAATGATATATTATCTTGAAAAGGTTCATAATAACTTTTCTTTCGCTTGAAACAGAGATGATAAAAACACAACAGCAACAACAACAACAATATTTTAGATGAAAATTATTAAATTTTAAATGTTGGTTTGTAGGGATTTGATTGGTTAGAGGATTTCATCATGAGCTGACATTAGTTAGAGAACCATTGGAAAACCACACAGGGAGTACTGGACAGCTGTTTCGTCCTAGTTCGGTACTCTTCATCAGTACGCAGTGGGAAGTCGTGACCAGTAAAAGGGTGCAGCAGGTCGGGTATGAGGACAGATACTCGATGAAGACATTGGCTAGTGGTTCCACTTTGTCGTGAATTGGCAGAAGTTAGAATTCATTGACTGGCCATTGGATCGGTTACCACAGGCTTAATGATCCTACGAGCTAGCTCGCCTTGTAACCAGAAGGTCATGGGTTCGAGCCCTAGCGGTAGGTGCGTACTGACGAAGAGTCCCAAACTAGGCTGACGAAACAGCTGTCCAGTACTCCCAGCTGGTTTTCCAGTGGTTCTCTAACCAATGTCTGCTCATGATGAAATCCTGGAACTAATGTGAGAATACTTTGTAGTTTTCAAAACCAAAAATAGTTATCAGAATTTTAATTTCAAAGCAAAAAGAAAAACGCGTGCACACACACACACCTGTAGGTTAATTTTTTCCCCATAATCATTTGTCGCTCCTCCGTGTATTGAATCGAATATAAGCTGTGTTGTTGAGTCAACTTTAGCCGTCAGTGTTTTGTTCAACTCTTTCACCCCACCAATTCTCCAAATACGTGCAGTTCGATCAGATGAACAAGTTAACAGTAAACGACTATTTGTAGACCAAGATGCATACAATACAGGACCTAAATGACCACGTAAAGCTTCAGCTGAGGAGAACAGCCTCTGACGTTTCTCTTCTACAGTATTTTTATCACATCGTGCAATTAAACAAATTCCATTGCCTAAACATGATGCCAGACTGTTTCCACTGGCTATAATTAAAAATCATCAAGGAGAGAAATGAGTAGATTATTAGGCAGACTTAATTTTTTTTAAAACGATAGTAGTTAAACGAATATAGTAAACTGCCAGTTAATGAACAAAGAATATTCTTTTCGATAATTTCTTCATCAAGTTCTGCACTTATATGTCAATAATAACTAGAGAATTATTGTTATTAACAATATTAGCGCTGTTTAAAATAACATTGAATCAGGAACATCAAAAGACTACTGTTCAAACCATGTGTATGCAATAATATGCATCAATCTAACACTGAATTTGTTGTGACAGCTGGCTGCTAGCCAAAGTTGGTGGACAGTAATTTACGTCAATTTTTATGTCCCCAATATTGGTTGTGAGAAAAATGAGAAGAAAGGCTTTGCGTAGGCGGATACAGTTGACATATAGATGATCTAACATTCAAGAAACAGCCACAAAGAGATGAAAGATTAACTTTCAGTGAGAAACAACCAATCAGAAGACTGTGTTTGGTTGCTAACATTAATCTATAATATGTGTACATGAAAATCCATAAATATAAATATGTGTTGATTTCCATAATAAAGGATCTGTTGCCTGGCCCTTGTCTTCTGTCGTTACAAATTGACTGAATATTAGGTAAATTAACTGACTGGTTTCAACGTAGACCTTTGTATACATGTACACCAGTTTGAGTTGCCATACTTCATGTAACACACAAAGCAATAGAAGAGAGTAAAGAGAGATTACAAAGACAGACAGAATTTTATTGGATATTATAAATCACAAAGAGTGAATGTATCTGCACCAGACATTGAGAACGTTCTATCTCCTGTGTGAAGTGGTATAGTAGGGTAAGCAATACTGAAGTTAGGCCTCAGTCGAGTGCTAGGTAAAAAGGGGAAATCAATCGACGGAGTTGTGAAGCAACATCGACTGAGATGGTTAAGACATGTATTACGAATGTCTAGCTTAGCCATCGCCTCCCTCGACGGTCAATGTTAGCTGACATAGTATGAATCAGGCTGGAAAAGAGACAGCCAGTGATGGTCAAACCAAAACAGGGCTTGATCACTCAATGAAAACCACAACAGTTAGTTTAAACCAGCCACGTAGGAAGGTGTAGACTTCCTGACTGGTTGGTGTCCTCAGGACGGTAAAAACCAGTGAAGGCTGGAGACAATTAGTGATATGGCTCAAAGTGATAGTTCTCAATGGCTGGTGCTGATACATCCACTCCTTGTGACTTATGATTTCCAATGGAACTATATTGTTCTTCGTTATTACTATTCCTTTTGTCTCATATCCCTATCTGCTGTCTCTATTTTGCATTTCTTCTACTTTTTTTCTCTTGCTTTGTGTGCTGAGTAAAGTATGACAACTTGAACTGCTGCACATCGGTGCAAAGTTCTATGTTGAAAACAGACAGACAGATTGAGAACGACGATTTCGAGCCATATCACCAATTGTCTTCAGCCTCCATTGGTTTTTACCATCCCGAAGACCTCAACCAGACAGGAAGTCTACACCTCACGACGTCGCTAACTGGCTGACTGGCTGGTTGGCTTAAACTAACTCTTGTGGATTCCATTGACTGATGAAGACATATTTTGGTTTGACCACCACTAGTTAACAATTTTCCAACCCGATCCATTCCATGTCAGTAGTTAACATTTCCCTTCGAGGAAGACGGTCGATTGCTAGGCATGCATTCGTAACACATGTCATAACCATCTCAATCAGCATAACTGCACAACCTCGTCGATTGATTTCCCCTCCTCAATATTCCTCACCTTATTAAACCATCTAACATGGGATATAGAACGAAGGTACCTATGATCAAAGACAACTAGCCGGCCTTTTCATGTCTTCTACTTTCAATGACCATGTCTCATAGCCATAAAAGAGGACAGGTAAATTACGAATAATAGTAGGGAAATTATGCATTTACAGGTTCTGTAGTAGGTCAGGGTAGCGATAGTGGCTGGACCTGCTTCTTTTGCACATAAAACTCCAGTTCTTATAAGCGAATTGTCGTGGAGTTTCATGTTTGAACAATTCGGTATTTAGAGGCCTTTAGTACCTGATAGGTAATAAAGAAAGATTCTACAATGCTAGCCGTGTGGCGTGTTTACACGAGGTAGTCCAGTATAGAACTGTTGATTATCTTAACAACATCTTTATTTAATCACACTGGTAGGTGTTCCTGAGCACGAAACATTAAGTTCCTAGAGCAACAGCCGATAACACTAGTTCCACATCTTCCACGAAATCCAGATCTTTTAGAGTCTTTTTATCGGTCCAGCGTAATTCTGTCGCCTCGCTCTCAAGCACAGTCTGACGCATAATCCAGTCCACCACAAATAAGAATATCATCGGTTATAATTAGCTAGCGGCTTTGTCTTATCCCTGTATTCACTTCAAAGGCTTATCTGAGTTTTCCGTCGTGGATCAGTTGATTTGTGACATTGTCATATAGCCAGCTGTTGAATGAATGTTGATAAAGACTTGGGCACTGAAAGCCATAGTGTTGAAGAAATTCCCAAATTACTTAGCCATCAACGCTGTCAGGTGACAGTCTTTTCAAAGTCTATGAAATTGAGGTAGAGGTTCGACTGCCATTCTATGTATGCTTTGTTCGATGACAATGCGTAGATTTTCAATCCGATCATCACATAATTTGTCTTTCCAGAATCCATCTTGTTCCGGCGGAGAGGGGGCAGAGTTTCGCATCAAGCGTGATGGTAAGAGCATAACTATCCAACTAACAAACAGGAATGAAATATCCTATGATTTGAAAATTCTCACGATTCATGACTTAGCCCTAAGAATATCTGATTTCACCAGCTAGTAGCTACTTTTGCATCAAGCTTGCTTGACTCCACCTCATACTCTTTATCGCTTTACTTAAATGTACAATACAGAGGCGATATATCCAGCGATATATTAAACCGTAGATTAACAAGATCAATTGAAAGAACTTTTAATGCCGCAAAACTTTATGTCAGTTTCTCAACCAAACCGATATTGACACTGTGCATTAAAGATAGATTACCCTAAATGACGACATCAATGTGCGTGTATATAAATTCAACTGCTCCTGTGGAGCTAGTTATATATAGGTCGTACCCAAAGGAATTTATCTTTACGCACTCGTGAGCATATTCCTGTTTGGCTTGAGAAAAGAGTAACCAAATTATTAAATAGTGCAATTCTGTCTCATCTAGTGGATAGCGAACACTGCATCAAAGTAGATGAGTCATTTACAGTTGTGTATCAAGTACCGAACAATCTCCCCAAAGGCACACGATTACGCCTCCTAGCCACAAATGAGGCTATAGTGGTTAATACACAGAGAGACCAGACCTATGTGTACACAAAAAACTTATTCACTCTCTCTGTCTACCCTGGCCCACCATAAGGTCACCAGGATCATAATTTTTCGTATTATTATTATCATTATTATCATTTTGTGATTATCACGTCTTTATTATGCATTTCTCCACCCAGTTTATTTCACCCGATCGTTACCCTTCATTTTTGTCAACCTTTGAGATTTTACACTAAGCTTACCAATTCTGTAACACCTTATTACAATTTAGGCTCTTTATTTCGCTATTTATTATCAGACATTATCGGTCAGCCCTCACATTCAGTGTCCCCTTTGTTCATATGTGTTTGTATGTATTTTGTGGTTATCACCCCAGTGACGACACTTGTACTCTCTGTTGACTATAAAACAACACTATATACCACCCAATTGTTCATTCACACTTCATCACATTTTTTCTGACTATACACCCCCTATACACATTTGATTGACTATGTTAACTAATTGACTATCATCTCAACTTGCACATGCACCCCAATACAGTTTCTGATATTCTTTTCATTTGCCTTTATTGGCTATATGTACTCTATTATTCATGGATTTATAACTGTAGAGCCTGAAGAAGAAGAAGTTATCGAAGCCACAATTGTTCGTTCAAAATCTTGTTTTGATTTCAATAGGGGGATTTTTTATTTACTGATCGCTTTTCGTTACAACTTCAGCAATACTATCGAAAGTCTCTTGAGATAACATATCTTTAAGAATGGAAAATTCCAAACTTTAGTGGACAAAATTCTGCATTACTTAATCGACCATGTTGACGCGAAAAAAAAATAAATAAATAATGAAGATAAAAGTTAGAGTCATATTTTCTGTGAAAGGTGCATTACTTACGTGAATATGCCACTTTATAAATTGGTGTAGAAGAGGAGTCAAGACTTCCGCTTAACTGCAAAACACTTGGAACTTCATCAGTATCAGGATAAAGTTTCGTTAACTTCCTAGTCAATCATAAAGTTAAAAAATGTGGTGAATAAGATATCAGAACACACATTTATGGATATATATATATATATATATATATATATATATATATATACATAAATTTTCTGAAAGTTTAACGGAACTAAAAAGATTTCTAAGTTGGTTTAGTTTAGCTCAACTAGAACTCAAAATAATGGGGAAGATTTGTAACTCCAAATAGATGATATTGCATTAGTTGTGTTATCCGAATAGCTGGTTGATTTAATTGCGAAGCTTTCGCCGTCCCCCTTCTAGACAACATCTTCAGCGCAGGTCTTAGTATAAAATGAACTCATTTAAATGGTTTCCAACTGCGAAAAACACTGCATTAGCCAAAGTGGATGTCCCCTTCGTCTTCGTATCCACGAACATAACCTAACCGTCAAAAGACATGACATCCACTCCATCACTCATATCACTTCATATAGACAACAAGGGATATCAATTCGACTGGGACAACCAGCGTTCAAATATTAGACAGAGGAAACAACAAGAATGCTAGAGAATTTTTAGAAGCCTGCCTGGCATTCCAGTGAATCATCAATCAGTAGACACATCGAAATAGACAAAATTTATCAACGGATAAGAAAGAAACCTCACACACAAAGGGTGAAAGTTCAAGTCAAGGAAACAATCAGTTCTAATACAAGTAGACTAGAGGGTGTGAAAACACACTAAAACAACCAATCACGTTCAAGCTGGTCACCAGGAGAGATGATTAATAAACTCGTGGAGAAATCTAAAAGCTCACTTCAACGAATTGAAGAATTCACTCAAGATGTTGCCTAGTAGGGCGATGAAAGCTTCGCAAATTAACTATTCAGCTCAGAAAACATAACTATATCAAAAACATTTATGTGCTATGTGCAGTGTGGCAACTTTAACTGCCGTACTTTTGCTCTAAATTCCCTGTTGACAAAAATACAGTCAGTCTGTCATAATATTCTATTACATTAGAACTTAGGTTTTATGCCTAACATAAGCAGCTTTGAATACAAGTGTAAATTATTAACCACTCAGTGATGATTTCTCAATATAAACATAACATTCACCATACTCCATAGTGAAAACGGTAATAAGTAGTCAAAGTATACGTGATTATAAGAATATTGAAAACAGCATACTAATACAAAGAGACATTTATTATTGTTATTATTCCCTTGCGTTCAGAGTAGAACACAGGGCTGGTTTCAACAACACATCTTCACTTTGTTTTGTTCTCTACCGCCCTCTTCAGCTGAATCCACGACTGACCAAACTCTCTCATCGCTTCTTCACACGATCTCCTTCATGTCACCCGTTGCTTCCCAACGGGATTCCCCTCGACGACCTGTTGTGCAATGTCATTCGGCGGCCTCATCAATATATGCCCAACCTATCTCCACTTCCTCCTGCATATTTATTAATCGATCAGCTCTTGCTTGATGGTTTGTTTCCAGCCAGTGTTTCTTGTTGCTTATTCTTTCTGGCCATTTCATCTTCAGTGTGGAACAGATGCAGCTGTTGATGAACGTCTACAAACTGTTGGAAATCATCTTTGTGACACGCACTGTAAGTTTCTCACCTGTATAGAAGAACCGACTTGACATATGTGTTGAAAATGCGAATCTTGTTCCTTATGCTGAGTGTGGAATATTTCCAAATTGGGTTCAGATTGATACAGGCGTATCTTGACTTTCCAATTCCGACTCTGACATCCTCATCCGTTCCGCCCGTAGTTGAAACTATGCTTTCCAGATACGTGAAAGAGGAAACCTCTGTTAAGTTTCTCCCGTTGGAGGTGATTGGTGCTGGTTGTTGCTGCCTTAGGTGATGGTTGGTTATTTTCATCAACTCCATCTTCTCTGTATCACCTGAAGTCCTATTTTCGCTGCCTCTTCAGCCAGTTTGCTGGTTTTCGCCTGTAAGTTGTCGAGTTTGTGTGACATTAAAGATGAATCTTCCGCGAAATCTAGATCTTCTAGTGTCTTCTTATCAGTCCAGCGTATTCCTGTCTCCTCACTCCCAAGGACAGTCTAACGCATAATCCAGTCTACCACAATTAAGAATATCATCGGTGATAATAGGCAGCCAGTCTTGTCTTACTCCTGTGTGCACTTCGAACGCCTAGCTGAGTTACCCGTTGTGGATCAATTGACACGTGGCGTATATTGCATAATGGTAAAAAAAAAGAGGGGAGCAAATTAGTAAAATTTGGACAAGGATGTAAGAGAAGTGTGAGATACGCGCCAGAAAAGTTAAATTTAGTTAAAAGGCCTATAGATTTAAATTTAGACACACGATGAATACATAAACGCCATAAATGCAGTTTCTAAAAATGTTTTCCCTTTTTTTTTCTCAAAGTAATTGCTCATTTACTGCTTTTAACTGTCACTAACATGAACTAACAGGTGAGTATTCAGCAAATAAATGGTTTTCACTTCAGCTACAAGAAAGTTGTTAGTAAATGGATTTGCATTTTACTTCACTCCCCGTAGTGAAGATTCGATGACCTATCAGAAAGGATTAGCAACAAGAAATTCTGGCGACAAACCATCCAAGGATCTACTAACCAACAAATTTGCCTATGGAAATGTGGAAGGATCAGACACACACTTTGACTGACTAAATGGCTGCCTAGTTTTAATTTAGAACTATGCAGACACATGTGCACCAGTTCCAGTTCCCACTCTACCTCCATATGTTGCACAAACAACGCAAGGAGAAGAGAGTAAAGGCAGATTCACAAATAGACACATAAGAAACAGAAGTGTCAGTGAAGCAAAATGAATAGTAATATGGAAGAGTGAATGCATCTGCGCCAGACATTGAAAAACAACGATTTCTAGCCACACTACCAATTGTCTCCAGTCTTCATTGGTTTTTACCATCCCGAAGACCTTTAACCAGTCAAGCAGTCTACACCTCACGACGTCGCTAACTGGCTGGCTGGCTGGTTGGCTTAAACTAACTCTTGTGGATTCCATTGACTGATGAAGACATATTTTGATTTGACCACCACTAGCTAACAATTTTCCAACCTGATCCATTCCTTGTCAGCAGTTAACATTTCCCTTCGAGGAAGGAGGTCGATTGCTAGGCATGCATTCGTAACACATGTCATAACCATCTCAACCAAGGCCTAACCTAAATATAGCTCACCTTACTGTTATCTTTATACTGACAAATCATCACTGAGTGGTTAATAATTTACACTTGTATTCAAAGCTGCTTATGTTAGGCATAAAACCTAAGTTCTAATGTAAAAGAATATTATGACACTCTGAGGAGACTGTTGAGTGAAATCACATGCCAGGCAGTTCATCAAGTGGAAGCTGGACGGGAAACGACAAGTTGAACGTGTATCGGAGGGCGATATATACAGCAGACAGTTTGAGCAGGGGATGATAGCTTATGACCAATCGTAGAGTCAGCTTAAGAGGTCTACAGATAACAGGATGAAATGGATTTGGCCTCTGGAAGTTCTATGTCCCACTCGGAATCCAAGAGAATAATAATGATGATATTATAATATAATTTGCATGTATGAATGGCGAAATCTTTCAGTTGATAAGAGCACTATATTCAGAATTGAAATAACTACTTTTCACTTTAACTCAGTATGTCTGTAATAGATGGAAAGATTTACACAACTCTAACACAAAAGTGATTCGATAACTGGTATCGAAGCTATAAAAACTCTACTCACTTATTATTACAATTATTACAAATTTGACAAGAATATAACAAAATAACACTTCGTGTTGTGGTTTTACAGTGTACAAATAAGACGACAACAACAAAAACAACAAAAAGGAGCCTTACGTTAATTTTCCCTCATTCATTAAATGTTTACTTCCAATTGACTTTGAACGTCCATTGACCATAGGATGAAACATTTTTCGACTGTAAAATAATTTTTTTAAAAACACTGCGGTTAACTGAAACTACCTGATCAGAGAATTAGAGTTCTACATTGTAAAATTTTATTACCTCCTGAAACATAGCCATACTTGAAAGAGGAACCATAAGTCAGTGATTTACATATATGTGAAGGGAGCACTTAACACTATCGAGAGAGTGGCTTAGTAGGAGAATGCATCGCTAAAAGACAGTGTAAGGTAAATGCGTCACAATATTTACGGCGTGAGTAGTGTCTGTTTCCTCAAAATCTATGATGAGCTAGTTGTGCAATGAGATGGCTATGTTTAGCAATGTCTATTATGCATTCTTATTCTCTTCTCAAGTTATATAATACGTTTTTAACAAACCACACATTTTTGATTCGCCTACTTCTAGTAGATATGTGGATTTAGTTGGGGTGAACAGCAAAAATTAGTCTACAAGGTTTCATCATGAGCTGACATTAGTTAGAAAACCATTAGAAAACCAACTGGGAGTACTGGAAAGCTGTTTCGTCACACTTGTTTGGGACTCTTCAGTGGTACCTACCCACCAGGGTTCGAAACCAGGACCTTTTGGTTACAAGGTGAGCTAGCTAGTAGACCATTAAGTCACTGGGACCCGATCCAATGGCCAGCCCATGAATTCTAACTTCTGCCAATCCACGACATAGCGCGACCCCTAGCCAATGTCTTCAGCGAGTATTTGTCTTCAGACGCGACCTGCTGCACCCCAGTCCCATTGGCTTAATGATCTACGAGCTAGCTCGCCTTGTAACCAGAAGGTCGTGGGTTCAAATCCCGGTGGTTGCGTACTGATGAAGAGTCCCAAACTAGGACGAAACAGCTGTCCAGTACTCCATGCAGGTTTTCCAGTGGTTCTCTAACCGATGTCAGTCAGCTGATGAAGAAATCCTCCATCCAATCAAACAAAATCCCTACAAAACCAATCCTTGAACATGCACTAATCATTCATTTAATCATCAAGAAACAGATTTTTTTCCAGTTGACAAAATGGTACTAAGTAACTCATACAGACGTTATAGCTATGTGCGTAGAATAACACATCTTCATCTGTAGGAGGATGAAATAGACTAATTAAAGTTTTAGACAGCTTTCACATTAGTAAGTTTACATTCAAAATATTTCATAAATTAAGGTGCATAATTTTGTGACAGTGATGTGCAAGAATATCAACAATGTAGCTCGGCGAAGTTCAACAATGGCGTCCCAAGAGTGTGAACGAGGCAATGACCTTGAACGCATGCTAATCGTTGGCTAACAGCATCTGTTATTATCATAGCTGTTAGGATCAGGGTTATAATTAGCATTAGGGTTAGAATCACGATTTGAATAAGGGTTATGATTAGATTTAGGATTAGGTTTAGTGTTAGGGTCAGGATTAAGCTTATGGTTACGATTAGGGATAGATTTATAGTTCATGTCATTTATTTTAATGTTTTTTTTATTATTCACTTTTTTTCTGGTAAGTAGTCATCTATCCACATGCTGGAAGCCATAATAATCCAACCGAGGGCTTTTTGGAAGACTGCAAGCAGGATGAGAGACATAAACGATTCACAAAAACAGTTTATCTGTAGCCATTTCGGTGATACACAGAAATTAGTCTAACTTAGCAACTGATACTCTTCGGTGGCACAGTGGTAAGGACTCTCGCCGACCATGCACATGGTCCGGGGTTCGAGCCCACGCCGGCGCACACCTGATATCTATGGTCGGCCTGCGAAATTCGGGCTACCGATATCCATGCTGTAAATTCCATACTTGTACCAAAAATACAGTGTGGAATCAATAAGCTGGACGTATTTTTAAGCCATGTCAGAAAAAGACAACCTGCTTTTTCAAGCATTTTCTTGTCAACATACATCATTTTTTGAGCAAACATTCCTCATTTTTTATGATTGATCAGCTGAAGGTCACTCGTGCGTTCGCACTCCTGGGACGCTGTTGTTCAACTATGCCTGTAGCCCAATACCACAGGAGTACAATGAATACTCTCATTCTTTTTTGTATAAAATAATCACAACATAGTGCACCAATGAACATTAGAATGCAAATCGATTGCAGGGAACACTGGATTGTAAATAATGACTGAATTTGAAAGTGGTGCATGAAGTTCATATTCATCTTTTAAAACTAAACTTCTAGCTAACAACGTTAACTTCAATTAATGCTATTTACATAGAAATTGAGTACGTCAGTGGTTCAGTGGTAAAATGCTCGTCAACCATGCACGTAGTCCGTGGTTCAATTACCGCCTCGACGCAGTCGTGTAATATTGACAGCACTGTGATAGGGATTAAATCGAATATCCCTCATCTAGGCATCAGTTTCTCTTCAAATCTCTGTCAACTGCCTCATATCCTGCTGATTTATAAGAAAAATTTTCGTTTGACTTATTACATAAAGACGTTGAGACTTTCCTGTTGGCATAACTCCACCACTTCTCTTACAGTTTACCAATTCATGTATTCTACCCATTCACCTTCTTTATTGTTTGTCCCATTTATTCTACCCTGGACTTCTCAAAAGAAGACAATGTTAGATTGCGTAGAACACTGAAAACTATAAGACGGGGTAGTGGTGTGCATATTGTCAATAGGCACTTCAGTTCTTGCAAGTATTTGGCTAAACTAATGTCAGGTCATGATGAAATCTTGTAACCAATCAATCAAATCCCTACAAACCAACACTTGAATATCAATGAGATGCTCACTGGAGTCTTGCCCTGGGGTTCTAGTGGAAATTTGTGACCAGTAGGGTGCAGCAGGTCGGGTGTGACGACAAATACTCGCCGAAGACATTGTCTGGCGGTCCCGATACGTCGTGAATTGGCAGAAATTAGAATTCATAGGCTGGCCATTGGGTCGGACCACAGTGGCTTAATGGTTTACCAGCTAGCTCGCCTTATAACCACAAGGTCTTGCATTCGAACCCCGGTAGCTGCGTACTGGTGAAGAGTCCAAAACTAGGACGAAACAGCTATCCAGTATTCTCAGTTGGTTTTCCAATGGTTCTTTAACCAATGTCAGCCCATGATGAAATCTTGTAACCAATCAAATCCCTACAAACCGACACTTGAACAAACGTGATAGTTATATTGTGATGTCGTATCTGGTGGCCTGCTTAAAACTTCGACTACCGAAAACTTCCATCTATCTATTGCATATATTTTCTCTCACTCGGTTTGTTTTAATCGAGTATGGATATGACCTCTACTGCTTCTGATTCACAAGTTCCTACTAGACTTGAAGAAAGGTCAGATTGTGGATGGCAACGTGTTTCAATCAATACATGAGATAACTGTTTTTCGATTATGTCCTTGGGTCTTAAAATACACTTCCGAACATCTTGCAATCGGCTTTCACAGCTAGATATCGTGGATTTCTTGAAGGAAGGAGACAAAGCAGATAGGTATATCATAATGGAATGGTTAGTGCTTCAGCTCAGAGATAATTGTGTCACACGAAGGATATAGTTTCAATGAATGAATACTTTCCTTGAAGATATTGTACGAAGAGAGGGAAGTTATCATGCAATAAATAAACTCCTCTGAAAATTCTGTATATTTTATAAGTACTGTCCAGAATAAAGATGTCATTATTAGTATGGTATTTTTATTATTGACTCAATTTCTCAGATTAATTTGATCATATATATTCTGTTTCACAGGAGCTTTTAGTACACCTAAATTTGATCTCCCCGGCCACACACACACTCCCGAACCTCGCTAAGCCAGTAATAAGACTAATAAAGAGGGAAGATTGGGGCATGAGGCAGGCTAGTAACCCTATCCCGTAAAAATTAAAATCACTATTACCGAAACTTGAAGCTTCTAGCTTAAAGCCCTATGTTCTACTGGGAACGTAAATGAGTAAAAAAAAATACATAAAAATTTAGAGAAGACCAATCACATTCAGGCCTTATCTATGTCGAAATGACCAATCACATTAGCGCTTACAAACAACATTTTCATTGGTGAGAGTTTGTTTAATTTCGAACTAGATTTTTAAATTACCTTCTCGTTTTTGGTATCCTAAATGCCTTTCGTGATCGATGACAAATTTGAAACAAAAATGTCAGGGTCAAGAAATTTACATAAGACGCCAATTGAATCATGTCGTCAACCTTTAAATTAGGATTTAAAGTAAATCAGCACTTATACGACAACAAGTATAGTCAGACCAATGTCACCAACCAACTACAATTACATAAAGAATATAAGTATAAAACTTGGGCACTGTGGTAGAGCATAACTCCATTATGGATAAGATCTTATTTTGATAAATCACTGGGTGAGTCTAAATGGTTTAATTTAACGCCTAAAACTAATAATGCTAGTAGAACATATGCTACTATTAAAATGCATAAGCCAGGTTACCCCATACGACTAATAGTAGATTTCAGAAATACTCCTACTTATGTATTACCAAAACACTTAGCTCTAATATTATACCCCATTAGAAATCGTTCAAACTCTAGACTAACTAATTCATATGAGATGAAAAATAAACTAAATGACATTCAACTAGAGAATGATGAAAAAATGGTTAGTTTTGATATAACTAGTCTTTATACTAATATACCAGTCAATATGGCCTTAGAAGCAGTTAAAAAAGAACTAACTGCGGATCCTGAACTCAATCATAGGACAAAGCTGCCCATTGAAGAAATTATGTTAGGGATTCAGTTATGCCTCGCATCTACCATCTTTAAATTTCAAGGCAAAATATACAGACAAACAGAAGGTGTAGCAATGGGATCACCAATATCCCGTATCGTAGCAGATATATTTATGGACAGCTGGGAAAATAGTGCTCTTAGTACATTTAATCCTACTCCAAAAATATGGTGGAGATATGTGGATGACACTTCCACTCACAGTGTTAAAAAACAGAAAATATCTCTCTCCAGCTTCTTGACACATATAAACTCACTAGTAGAAGGAATATAGTTCACATTTGAATCGGAAAGTGAACAAGGAGAATTAGCTATGTTAGATTGTAAAATAAAACGAATAGAAGAAGGTAAACTGCACACTTGAGTTTATAAAAAACCCAAATCATTCTAATAGATATTTAGACTTTAATTCGTCTCATCCGTTAACTGTAAAGGCAGGTTTAGTTAGGTGTCTAACAAACCGAGCCATATCACTAAGTAGCACAAGAAAAGATCTAAATGATGAAATAAAACACATAGAAAAGGCGTTGGTGTTAAATAACTAACTATCCTATAAAATTCATTAGGAAGATCGATAAAGGCCAAAAGCAAAATAGAAATATTTGTAAAACTGGTAATGATAACATAAATAGGAGACAATATAAGGCACCTACTGTTATACCATGTAGGGAGGGGAGATCTGAAACCTTACATAGAATTCTTAATAAAGCAGGAATTAGGGTAGTGGCATTCAAACCTACAAACCCATTCAAGTAGGACAAGCTCTGTAGGCTAAAAGACCTGGTGAACCCAATTAGACAAAATAATATAATTTACAAAATACCCTGCAATGACTGTGAGTGAGGTCATCTATATATGTCAGACTATTAGATCGGGGGTAATCGGATTGTACGAACATAAGATTTATAGCAAGCAAGTTGTGTGAGTGAGTAGCTTGATACGATTGTGAGTAGCAATAGTTTGTGCTCTAAACGTGATCGCATCAGTTAATATTACTTACTGCATAACACCACTGTGTGATTTATCAAAATAAAATCTTATTCATAATAGAGTTACACAAAGTATAGTTGAGTGTAATAGGCAAAAAAAATTACAACGGACTGTTGAATTACATTTCCCAATCAATAAAAATAATTAAAATCTTAAAAATCTAATAAATTCGTTAGTAAAAATCGTTATAATAATAAAAAAAGACTCTTACATTGGCTCCTGTTTTGCATAACCAGAAGATTTGATAGCATGACCAAATGTTACCGGTTTATTCAGCGATTTGTTCAATTTAACAACTGATTGATCAGTTTTATTCCTCCGAGTGTTATTACTCGAATTATTTTGAAATAACTGACGTCTATCGCAACTGTTCAGCACTGAATTCGCTAGTAGATTATCTCTTTGAAAGGGGAAAAATAATGAATGTAAATATAAGTTATGAGTGGGTATTATAAGTTGTTATGTACTCGTCGAGTAGTGTTAATAGTCCTGAGGCGGAAAGAGGGAAATCAGAAGACCACCAGGTTTACGATGATACTCGTATTTTCCAAACAAGGAAAATAATGACTGTCACACAAGTGTGTGAGTGGAATGGTACGACGAATGTACGAAATGTGTGTACAAAAAAGTCTGAACAAGGATACAGTACAAAGGTATATATGAAAATGGCTAATACACATGAACCAATAAGATAACGTCCTACCATAGTTGGTTGTAATGTCATGTCATACATTGTTTATTTAGTTAGTGGACAGACAAAAGCATATTGTCAGTTATAATGAAATATCGATCCATATACACATAGAAACATATAACAGACTGTCAAAAACAACACACACACACACACACATCAAGTGGATACATATCATAAGTAGAGCGTCGGTGGCACAGCAGTTAGGACGCTGGTCCGATGTTCAATTCCCGGCCGATGCACTCCTTTAACTCGCTAAGCCAGAAATCATGCTGGTAAAGACAAAAGGTTCCAACACCATTCTGTAAAATTAAACACTGCTACAGAAAATTTAAGCCACTAGGCTTGAGACCCAGTGTTCCACTGGGAACGTGAAGGAAAAAAATTGTAAGTAGAGAATTTTCGGTTTACAATAAGACATTGGTCAGTATATGGCAATGCATTTGGGTTTTCTAAACTACACAGTGTTATACAGTAAGCAATACTAACTGATGCGACTACGCTTCAAGCACAAACTATTGCCGCTCATAATCATATCAATTCACTCAATCACTCACACAACGTTTTTTCTTCATTTATATACATGAGTGGAATTGATGATTAGACATTTGAATAAAATCCAATATAAGATAATGTACATTCAGAAATAATAATATGAGTGTTATCGATCAATTACAATCAGATGGGGAATAAGACGAGTGTTTTTATAGTCATAATAAGTAACTTGTTAGGATGTTATAATGCGCGTGAATTGAATTGAAATAGAATTTTGAGATTATTTTATTATCTCATGGAAAATTCCCATTGTAACATTTAGAAAATCAAAACAAGTGATTCAGTGAAGAGACTCTTTTCAACGAATTTATCATCAAGCTGTACAGTCGTATATATATGGTTTATCAGAAGTTATATCCGGTGAGGGAATTGAATCTTAGGTGTGAATGCACAAAATAATAATAATAATCATATGAAGTTCAATTAAAACTAAAATGTTTGTGATTATAATCGTAGTTAAATGTCAAGTGGCAAAGCAGATTAATGTCATGTATAGAATAATTCATAGGAGGGATAGAACTTGAAAAAGGATGTGTAATTATAGGATTAGTAGGCAAATCGAATAAAACAAAAACGTTACGTAATATTGTGTGAAATTTAATAGCATAGAATTTATCGTTGTAAAAACAATTGATTTAGAATGACAAGTGGAACAAGTGAAATAATACCGGGGACAGTTCAAAGTGAGAATAGTAATAATAACAATTGACTTAATAAGGAAGAGTATACAAATTGAATAGACAAAATGAAAAATTGGTAGAGCTAAAATATGATTGGGGATTATCATATTTTAGCATAGAGGGATTAAGACCATGAGAGTTGGAGGGGTTGAACGAACTTTTTCTGTACACAGAGATCTGGCTTTTCTGTTTCGATAGCCAAAGCTTCAGCAATACAGATGAGTCGGGTACGTAGGGATTTAGGTAAATTGCTCTTTGCCTTGTAGATGACTTTAAAGGCGAAGGTTATAGAGATAGGGTGATCATTTTCGACCAGATGTTCTATGATCGCGCTTCGATTATAATCACAAACATTTTAGTTTTAATTGAACTTCATATGATTATTATTATTATTTTGTGCATTCACACCTAAGATTCAATTCCCTCACCGGATATAACTTCTGATAAACCATATATATACGACTGTACAGCTTGATGATAAATTCGTTGAAAAGAGTCTCTTCGCTGAATCACTTGTTTTGATTTTCTAAATATTTTATTATCCGCTTCTGATTTGACTGACTGGTGGTAATAATATCTTCCATGCATATCTCTGGCATTTGCATTGAGTCATTTCTGTTGCATGTGTTGTGTTGGGTGTAGACTCGATGAACCAGGCAGGATTCAGTAGTCAACCTCTCTCTCCACCTACTTATATTACTTCTTAAATCCTAACCCTCTCCCACTCTATTGTGTGATTGTGTTATTGCATGCACTGCATGCATTTCAATTCACGTACATCATAACATTCTAACAAGTTACTTATTATGACTATAAAAACACTCGTCTTCTTAGCCATCTAATTGTATTTGATCAATAACACTCGTATTATTATTTCTGAATGTACATTATCTCACATTGATTTTATTCAAATGTCTAATCATCAATTCCACTCATGTATATAAATGAAGCGTGAAAGTTGTGTGAGTGACTTGATATGATTATGAGTGGCAATAGTTTGTGCTCGAAACATGGTCGCATCAGTTAACATTCCTGTATAACAAACATTGTATAATTTATCAAAATCTTATCCATAATACAGTTATACTCTACCAGCACAGTCCCCAAGTTTTATACTTATATTAATAATTTTCTTAACTATGTACACATATCTCAATTAAAGAAATTTAGGAAAGGAATATAAAAGAATACTTGTTAGATGGTTAGAGGCAATCGATAGAAAAGCCTTGGAACAAGATTTCGTGTTTATTGACACTCACCAGTCAGCAAAGCGCATCAGTAATCCTGAATAAGGCTTTTCATTACAACATATCCTATGACAGTCAAACAGTCTAACTCATTTACTAAATTCTAGGATTATAACCAATACTTTAAAATAAATTTACTTCATAGAATGTAAGAGAATAGAAACAAATAAACTGCAAAAACCAACTTTCAGACAGCTAGCCTTTAGAATAGCATATATGAGACACGAAGATACAAATGTATTGAATGATTTAATTCAATTTAGATTTTTCCGTTGATTGATTGGAATCGAAGTGCTCAGTCTCAGGTTGACACATATCGGCTCGTTGTGCAGAAGCTTCAACGATGTCTGATCATGTAACTTGAAGTCAATAGGTTGATGGTGACTAGCAGTGGAGTCCACGATGTGCACTTCGTCTCATTTGAGACTCGTCATCTGGTCTAATGAATAACGCTTTGGGGTTTGAGACTATGAGCGCTGGGTTCTAGTCTCGGTGGGAACACCATCAATCACTGGTAAATGCAGTTACATCCAGGTGAAGAGCCCCAAATAGGACGAAATGTGCATCCTTGACTCCATTGCTAGTCACTATCAACCAAATGACTTCAAGCATTGAGTGATTGTCAGCAGAATTTAAAATCCAGTTGCCTGATCTTATTTAGCAAGACTGACACGTGTTAGAATAACTTACTTGATGGTTCCACCCGGAATTCTAAACTACAGGATACAATGCAATACATACTTTTTTCCTAATCATATGACGAATGTTTATGTAAATAATGCTTTCGACACAGTTATCTTTATAGGCATAGTCCATTAAGCTGAAGTTATGTTGTAATAGGAAAAGGTAAGAGACTTGATAACGGACTATTTTGATTCACACATTTTTAGTCATATTTAATGTTTGGCTAGGTCAGTAGATAATAAACTGTTCTGAAGGTTAAACCCTGAGATTATTTCCTGACCTTAATGTAAGCTACATCCAGATTTGAGAAGTAAACGCCATTAAATAAAAATGCCGTTTTCAATTTTGGCTACTTCCTATCAATCTGCGTCTATATACTACTGACAAATTTTATCAGTAGCAAGCACACGTAAGATTGTAATCTCAATATCATTTTTAACTTTTTCACCACATTGTTTTTTTTTTCTTAATAAACACACTACTACTGTACAATAAGGGTTAATAGTATCATTGGGGAAAACTCGTAATGATGCTTTCTCAATTACTTCATTATGGATAAGATTTTACTTTGATAAATAACACAGTGGTGTTGTACAGTAATATTAACTGATGACGTTTAGAGCATAAATTATTGCTCATAATCATATCAAGTTACTCACACAAAATTTTCCTTCATTTATATACATGTGTGGAGTCGATCAGATATTGGAATAAAAGTCAATATGAGATAATGTACATTCAGAAATAATAGTACGAGTGTTATTCATCAATTACAATCAGATGGGAAATAAGACGAGTGTTTTTATAGTAAAATAAATGAGTAAATTGTTAGAAAGTTGTGATGTGTTTGAAATGAAATAGAATTTTATGATTATTTATTATTCTCCTGTGATTTGACCGACGGTAATAATATCTTCCATAATTCTGGTATTCCCATTGACTCATTTCTGTGGCATGTGTTGTGTGTAGACTCAGTGAACAAGGATACAGAAATCAACTTCTCTCTCCCCCTACCTATATTACTTTAAAGAATTTTAACCCTCTCCCACCACCCTATTGTGTGGTTGTGTGTTAATGCGTGAAGTGCAATTGCTGAGCTTTTTTCTAACTTACTTATCTTTTCAGGGTCAACCATTCTTCCCCCAGCCAAATTCTTATTTTCTGACAATCTGACTACCCCCGACCTACTAGTTTGACCTATGTAGTTGATCTCACTCACAGTCATTGCAGGGTATTTTGTAAATTATATTATTTTGTCTAATTGGGTTCACCAGGTCTTTTAGCCTACAGAGCTTGTCCTACTTGAGTGGGTTTGTAGGTTTGAATGCCACTACCCCAATTCTTGCTTTATTGTGAATGATACGTAGGGTCTCAGATGTCCCCTCCCTACATGGTATAACAGTAGGTGCCTTATATTGTCTCCCATTTATGTTATCACTACCAGTTTTACAAATATTTCTATTTTGCTTATGGCCTTTATCTATCTTCCTAATGAATTTTATAGGATAGTTATTTAACACCAACGCCTCTTCTATGTGTTTTATTTCATCATTTAGATCTTTTCTTGTGCTACTTAGTGATATGGCTTGGTTTGTTAGACATCTAACTAAACCTGCCTTTACAGTTGACGGATGAGACGAATTAAAGTCTAAATATCTATTAGAATGATTTGGGTTTTTATAAACGCAAGTGTGCAGTTTACCTTCTTCTATTCGTTTTATTTTACAATCTAACATAGCTAATTCTCCTTGTTCATTTTCCGATTCAAATGTGAAGTATATTCCTTCTACTAGTGAGTTTATACGTGTCAAGAAGCTAGATAGAGATATGTTCTGTTTTTTAACACTGTGAGTGAAAGTGTCATCCACATATCTCCACCATATTTTCGGAGTAGGATTAAATGTACTAAGAGGTGTATTAATGCATGTATAAATGCAGGAAAAAGTTGTGTGAGTAGTTTGATATGATTATGAGCGATAGTTTGTGCTCGAAAAGTGGTCGCATCAGTTAATATTACTGTGTAATACTGTGCGACTTATCAAAATAAAATCTCATCTGTAATGGAGTTATACTCTACCACAGTGTCCAAGCTTTCTCAATCAGTGTGACTTCACTCATGCTCAGTACAGTCATCAGATTATGTTGTTAACAGAGATATTCCTGTGTGGAGAGAAAACTATACTCAGGAACCAACAGCACTCTAAATTTTCAAGGGTTAGTTTGTATAGATTTGATTTGTTTAAGTTTCACCATTGATAGACACCAGTTAGAGGACCATCGGAAGTCAACCAAGGAGTACTAGACAGCTTTTTGTCCAACGGTACATACCCACCGCCAGGGTTCGAACACATGACCTTCCGGTTACAGATCAAGCTCATATATCACTCATCCACTGGGACCCGACTCAATAGCCAGACCATGAATTCTAACTTCTATCAATCCGTGGATTTAGCGAGAACCATCAGCCAATGTCATCGGCAAGTATTTGTTTTCAATCCCCACTATCGACTGAGACCCATCACTAGAACGCCTCCAGGCAATTTCGTCCTGTAGCTAGTGGTCGTCAATAGGGAGCATTAGCCTAATTTTCACGAGCTTGTTTCTAGGAATTTCATTTATTTCAAGTTTTTGATCACGGTTTAATATTAGTTGGAAACCATGACGATGGCTGTGCGTACTGCTGATGAGTCCCAAACTAGGATGAAACACCTGTCCAGTACTCTCCAGTGCTGGTTTTCAATGGTTCTCTAACTGATATCGAAATACGTGACCAAACTTGAAGCACTCTAAACTGTCTTAAAATACAACCACTTGATACCCTTTTCCTTAGATTATCAGTCTTCAAACGTAAAATCAGCAAATTAATTGAAGAAAAGTATCGTAACACACTACCTGGCAACAAGTGACAAAGCTGACAGATCATCTGATAAATTGTTAGTTTCATCACCTGGAAGTAGATTTTCCAATGAAATGGTAAAAAAGGCCACTGAATCATTGTTACCACGAATCCAAAAATTGACAGATTGCTTTAAAATAGAAATAACAATAAACAAAACCATAATCAATCATTCAGATGGGAATTATCATATTCATCATTAGCGATAAAATTTTCAAATCAAATTTTGACAAATTCTTTTCCTAATTATACAACTATAGTCAGTGATACGAGAGGTGTCTCTCGTGGTCTAGTGGATAACATTCTGGCGTTTGAAACGATGGGTAACTGGTTCGAGCCTCAACGGGAACACCATCAGTGACTAGGAAGTGCAGGTACATCCAGACGAAGAGTCCCATATGAGATGCAATAAGCACTGTCCTTGTTTCCACCAGTGCTAGTCACCAACCATCAATTTACTTCAAATCAAATAATCAGAAATCGTTGAAACATCTGCACAAGGAGTCGACGTGTCAACCTGAGGCAGAACAATTCGGTCCAATCATTCAATGGGGAAACCCATAGTTAATTAAGTAATACTAATTACCTATAATTTCTGCAAAACTAGTTGATAAGATACATCAAAATGTAGAAATATTAAACATGATGTCGCAGGTACTACTGACAAGATTTCGTAAGTAGTACATTGTGTGTGTGATATCTTCTGAAGGAATATTGAATATCAAAGGGGTGGATTAAATGGCGGAGAGGGAGATTGAAAACTCCTGATGACAAAATAGCATGAAAGGAAGACAAAAGAAACAGGATACGGAAAACATGTGCAGACGGTGATTTTAATGTTAACTATGTGCAAGGTATTTCACTATATTTGTAGATCAATTCGCTAACAAAAATACACATAGTAGTGAGTATCTTCACCTGTCACGTGGAAGGTTCGATTCCCGATCGAGGAGCTAGATTTTATTCCTATAAAAAACTTTCAAAGTAATCCCTGTGTTCAGAAAAAGTTTGTTCAATAGTTCGTTTACAAGGGTTAGTTTTGTTTTTTGCGAATTGATTACGGATTGATATCAGTTAGAGAACCATTGAAAACCAGCACTGGAGTACTTGACAGATGTTTCATCCTAGTTTGGGAATCATCGACAGTACGCACCCACCACATGGGAGTTCGAACCCAGGACCTTCCGGTTACAAGGCAAGCTAGTTCGAAAACCATTCAGCCACTGGGACCCGATTCAATCGCCAGCCCATGAATTCTAACTTCTACCAATTCGTGATTTAGGGCGACCTCAAACAATGTCGTCGCTGGGACATCCATCCACACACGTGACATCTGGATGGACCTCACTGGTCACGACTTCTTACTAGAACTCCAGGAAACTCCATCCTGTAGCAAATCACTAGCGAGCATCAGATTAATTTTCTATAGTTTGGTTTGTAGTTTTGTTTTTACGAGTTGATCACGGATTGATATCAGTTAGAGACCCATTGAAAACCAGCACTGGAGTACTGGACAGCCAGCTGTTTCATCAGCCTGGTTCGGGAATCATCAGCAGTACGCACCCACCACAAGAGAGTTCGAACCCAGGACCTTCCGGTTACAAGTCACGCTCGTATACTATTCAGCCACTGGGATCTGACTCAATGGCCCATGAATCCTAACTTCTGTCAATTTGTGATATTATTTGTGGTATTTCAACCACCAGCCGGTGTCACAGTGGTTCTCTAACTGATGTCAGCTCATAGTCAATCCTGTGAATGACGGCTTATCTAAAGCCTTAAAGTCATCGAAATAATTCATCCCGCCAACTTAAAATTCCCGCCTTTTCCATGAGTATAAATTAAGCCCATAAGTTGTTGACTTTCATTCACTGGGTCACAACTTCAAAAACCACTTCACAAACTGAAGTGTGAAGTGGTAAGTGCAACTCATAGAATAAACGCACGTCAAGCCTTGGTGATGAGTTTGCACGTGATTAATTAGAAATATATCTTTGATTTATTTCTGAAATTATTATCTATTATTTAAAAGCAGAAAAAACTTGGTGCAATATGGCACCAAGAAAGAGGCACCACACAATAATAGTAATAAAACAATATAGATCAAAGGTAAAAAACATAATTAGAGAACGGATAAAGAACTTCATCTGGAAGGAAAACAGTCATGCTTAACAAGTTCAAACAGTATTCGTCAACTGTCATCCGGAAGGGAAGAAAGAAGGAAATTGCAGCATGTTCGCCATTGATTGCGATTCTTGACCATATCTGATAACGTTTCCAGACATTGATTCGAGCTATCTCGTGGACCCCAACGAGGGAGTCGTTACGCACCAACCGATGCTAATCTAGCACAAAAATCCTTCACCCCACGACGCCACGTCATGGACTGACCCCCAACGTCCCCGCCTTTTACATCCCGTCCCAGGGCTGGCTAGCGAACAGAGACCTGTACGGAAGCCTCCTCTGGGATGACATTTGCAGCACATGTGCAAGCAACCGGAGCCGGTGTTTCCAGATGACGACACTCAATGAATGGTGATCTTCACTGTGTGCGAACACACGCCGCCGAACCTCAGAGTTACTCACGCTATGATGCCATCGAACGCAAGCAATCCTGCGGAGACAGCGATGATCCAACACGTAGAGCCGCTGCATGTAGACAGAGATTGAATGTATATGCAGAGAAACGGTATACAAGATAAAGAAATACAACTAGCATGCCAATGCGTATAAATGAAAAGGAGGATATTATTGTGCCATGTGCTGCTGATAAGATTTGTCAATAGTATATAAAGAGACGTTCATAGGCATGAAAAACATCAAATAGCAGGGAGATAGATTTGACATCACAAAGACAGCAAATGATTCAACGTTGCGCCAAAACATGGGAGTCACGGAAAAAAGACAAACAAACACATTACGAAGGGCAGAAGTAGCACAACATGAAAGATTTATGCAAACGACGATTCGGAGATAAGGTGTGCATAATTTGGATACACAGAGATACCAGATTGCAAATAAACATCCCCTTACCAAGTCTCCTGTCTTCTATCGTTAGAATACTTTTTCAGAAAATGGTGAAAAGATATAGTCGTTTATTTACTAGAAAAATTAGTATAACAAAAATGAAAAATACTAAAGACGATATTTTACCCTGACGCAACTGAAAAATACCTTCCAATTACAATGAAGGATATCAAGCTCCAAGTTTTACAGCTATAAAAACGATCTCATCTATGTGAACAACGAAACACTCTCCTCCCACTTATTTATTTACAAAGAACAACAACTAAAAATAATAAAACGCCCTTACCCTAATCCTTTACTCAACTCTAATCCTAACTCTGACGTGTTATCAACCCATTATCCAGGCAACACTTCAAAACGAGACCAGGTGAAATTCTTCCCCCCCCACCACCACCACCACTCCAACTCTTGTGCAACTTTCATACTGACGCTGTAATAACGACAGGTTCTGTAATCTAATGAGTGGTAAACGTTCAAGGTCACTGGGTAACTTGACACTCCATGGCCTCTATTCCTCAGGTTGGCCTCATTATCAATAAAGACTTCCAAATAAAAAATACAATCAATAATCAATGAATGGATTAATGAAGTTTGAATGAGGTGACAACAAATAAATTCTAAAGTTGAAAATTTTCAAATTTAATACTCACCGACGTTGTAGTGATTCCAGCATCATGTATATAGGCCCAGTTAGGTAACTGAAGATCAGTCCATTTCCAACTGACCATTATATTATGGTTAAATAAATTGATTATGTATAGTCTAGCACGCGACAAAACAACCAATATGGTCGACTTCAGTTGTAAAGACCTTCATAACAATATAATTTAGTATATATAAAAGATGTATACGGAAGAGAAGTTATAATGAAAGATAATGCATGAATTGAAGTGCACAAACCACTAAAGAAAAATACTGACGAGAAAGAATCGATTCCACCATTTGAGAATAAATCAAAGGTAGTCTATTTGACGTTACAAATTACCAGCCAAAATGAACCTCAATCGAAGTTATTGCGTTGATTTTGGAGCACAATATCCCTTCTACTATAGTGATGATAATCATATATACTTTTGTCCCGTATTATATTAGACTTTAAGAGTGATTCTTAATAAAAATGAGTAAAGAAATGTGTTGATGTTAGATGGTTGGAGACAATTGGCAGTAAGCCTTGGGTCTAAGCGTCGTACTAGTTTGCACTTGTCAGCAAGATGTATCTGCAACCTTGGAGGAACTCATGGCTCTTCCGAGATTTGAACTCTTCAAAGTTGCAGATACTCTTTGTTGACGAGCATCAACTAGCACGAAACCTAGATCCAAGGCTTTCTGCCGACTGCCTTCAACCGTCTAACATAAACAATTCACAGTGCAGTGCATCGTGATGGCGAGCCATCTAGTGGCATTGTGGCCACATTGCAAACTTGACTGATAGAACTCAGTTTGCACCAAACAAAGGACCAGACACATTACACTAGCTAGTTGTTAGTGTCCAATCAAAGTAAGGAAATGTGTGCAACAAAGTGTCTTCAGAAAAAATCATTGCTTTCATCTAAGTCACATTGACATCAAAAGAAGTTTAGATCTTTATGCCGATGTATTAACATTTATGCAAGCTCAGTATAAATTTACACTTCAAGCATCTCCTGAACGTCACTACTAAGACGATAGCTCTTTACTTAAGAATAAGTATTCAACACCACGTTGTGACTAAAAACCTACATGTTTCAGTTCAAAATATTCCAATTTGGTTTCAATCGCTACTGATATGAAACATGTGCAATCTTCTTTAAACATTATAATAATCTCAATATATCAGATAACCCTCAACGAATAAAGAAATCATATCAATAGTTTCTACATTTATATATTAAGCAAAATAAATACATAGGTACTAACTGTGAATAGCTCAATTTAAGTAACTTGAGATTTTGAATTAAGGTTTGTTATCAATACAATGTGTTCTAATAAATTTTAATTTATTCTACTAGAGAGCTTGTTGAGTGAACTGTGTTCTTCAGTAGTTTTGACAATCGATCAGTTAACTTTGGGTGTCAGGCGTGTCTATGCTGAATTGCCAGATTTGTATAGACAACTTACTTTTAAGTCGTTTCCATACTTCCTTATTACTGTGCTATTAACTGTATGTTAAGGTATAAATCTATTCTGTAATTCTTTATAATAACAACCTCACTATTAGTCTAATAATTTTTCGGATTTCATTGTTACATTTTGTACAAATTTCTAAACATTTTCGTTCGTTTCAAAGTTGTTAGCATTTTCGAATATGTATACTTATATAACCAAACCTCAGATAACTTAAAAGCCTCAACTCGGTTTTCATACCAGAAAATACCTATAAATTTTTTATGTCCTTGAAATTTACAGTAACATTCGGAATACAGGTAAACTTCATTTAACTGCATTCTACGGAGGGGCTATTGTAGTGACCCATTTTATTATTCATCATCTTAGTATACTTTCACTGTGTAATTGGACTTTGATTTGTTTATCACTCTAAAGATTGCATGTTAACAATTGATACATCGTACTCGCCCAACTTTTGAATTTTGATTACTGCGATAATACACGTTCGTACTCCTCAAGTGCCTTTTAATTTACGTTGTAGATGTCGAGTAATCACAACATTAAGACACAATAATAAACGCAAAGAATTGCTAGGATATACGCGTACGCTAGTTTAGTCAAATAGAGCAACACGACAAGCTTTCTTTACTTATATGCGATTGAATTCATCTGTTTTACATACTTCTTTTATTGTTTTCCTCATACAATTTTGAGACAACTATGAGTTTAGTATACATATCAGAAAGCCACAATTCAACGTAATTACTTAACCAATTGAAGTCTACTTTACTTTTTCGTGCTCAAGAACATCTCCCACTATGGCTAAGTAAAGATGTAATTAAAACCATTAACAGTTCGATATTGGGCCATCTGGTGCAAACCGGCCACAAAGCCAGCGTGAAAGGATCCTTCTCTATAATCTACCGGGTGCCTAATAAATTCCCAAAATCATCAAAGCACCGCATGCTCCAAACAGAAGAGGCTATTGCAATTCGCCTCAAACAACCAGTGCTCTGTGTTCAAAAGAAGCAAGTCTAGCACCTACTACTGCCCTGTCCTTTAGCAGAAACTATAAGTTCATGAATTTGTAATATTATCTTTCCTAATTTTTCTGACACTCAGCTTATTTTATGTTGATGCCAGTGAACTGTAATCTATTGATATTATTGATTCGATGTCATTTCAACATTAATGTTGTTCATTGCACTAATTCATTCATTCCCTACTATGGATGGATATATAACTGTAGAGCCTGATGATGAAGTTATCGAAAAGAGTACTCTTTTTTCAGTATCCATTCTTTTGAAAATTTTAATGGACATTTTTAATCAGTTAATGGGAATTCTCAAATCAACCTAAATGATCTGTAATGCAAAAGTGAACTAATACTTTCGAAGCATATTTAGTCAAAACCAACACTGTATGTCCTGAGAACTGGATAAATATTAGAGGTCCTTTTGGCACAACGACAACAAAAAGTAATCCAATCAGCTAGCCTTCAAAATAGAAAGCCCTAAAGGTAAATGATACTCAGTTAGTCAATTACTTCGAAAAGATTCTAAGCTGAAATGCAAATCAAAATCGTCTAACTGTGGATGTAGCGGTAAATGAGGTTGATTAATCACTTACTTTCAACTTATTACTATACGAATCATACTTTTTTAAATGTAGATAAAACTTCAGGTTTTCGAGCCATCTGTTTGGAATTTCACTGGCCTTGGCAAGTTTTGTGTATGATTTGAAACTGGCTACCTATTAGCCACTTATAACCGAACTAGGTAGTCAAATAGCTTAATACTTTTCTATTTCAAGACAACCTGCTTTTTAAGCAACACGACCATTTGACTCAAATACAACTACTTCATATTTAAAAAACCCTGTGTGATATCAGTAACCTAAATGTTTCTAAAAAAGCATAAATCTAACACTTAAATTACTTCAGTTGATGCTGGAGATTGATGACGTAGATTGTAATCATTCTGTACTCAAAAAATGATATTTTTCTAATAAAAGCTATTTGTGCCATAGTTCTGCAATGGTGGATAACATGCAAAATGTTTTCCTCGAATTATGCAACACTCCTTGAAGACAGAAAGTTGCCACAATCCATCCTCTGTGCAATCCACTGTTTCTCACTGTTGCTTTGCTAGGTGCTACTTAAAAAGCATAATCATAGTGATAATAATATGTCAAACCCCATATCAAAACTCATGGGCAACATGGTGGTAAACAAAAACCTAGCATATTGTCTATAACTTCATTAAGTTGGTATGTGATAATGTTTAAAAACATAACTATCGAAATGAATGAAAACATACCTTGACTCACAATTCCGAGTAGAGCAAGATAATAGGTCCAACTGTGTCAAAACAACTATTTCGTTCGAAAATTCTTTAGAAATAGATGGGATCATTGTTACGTCTCTAGACCATGACGATCTTTCATGTGCTGAAAACATCACGGAGTATGAATTTCACCGTTACTTGTGAGACTGAGGGGATTCCCATGAAGATAATTACTATGATCATTATCGTCCTCATTTACATGCTCAGGAAGTGAACATAACTGGGTGCACTGTAAGGAACAAAAAGAGAGTGATAAAACCTAACCAGTGATATATTTTTATGGATATCCTACCTGACTGTCCTTTGTACCAAATAAAATACAATTATCGATTAGACTGGAACTCAATGTAGTAATTTTAGAAAGCCCGACAGAATGTATCATTTTGCAAGCATGTATATCCCAAATTCTACATGACTGATCTTCAAGTAATACCACAGCGTAATTTGGAGTAGATGGATGAATACTGATATCCTTTGTTTTGCTAGGATTTACTCCAATCGTTGTTAAAACAGTTTTGTCTTCCTGAAAGAATTATGTAAAATAAAGACAAACCATCAAGTAACGGGCTTTCAAATATTTTCCATCACCAATTAGCAGAAACGAAGAAAAAGGGTGTATACACAATAAAACAGGATCTTCGGCTTTATATGCGAAATAGTCTCTGATGAAATTTTAGAAGAACATGGGATTAGAACTTACGTCTTTTCTGAATGCTTAGGCAAATCAACAACCTGTGAAAACTTTATGACTCCAAGACCTCCACTGTCAGCGAAACATATGACAACTCCCGGTAGTGTTGTCTGAATGCGGAGAGAATGAATAGCATAAGTGGATTTGTGAATGAATTCGAACTAAGTACGCCGAAATTTTAACAATACTGTGAATAACTCACCTGTGGCAAGTCAGTAATGAGGGCACAACATATTTTTTCAGGAAACCTCCTAACAGTGAAACATACGAAATTTTCAAGAATATCAAGGAGACAGTATCCACTAACAGCGAGAAACTCTAGATTAGGCGTCCAATCCATCATCAATAGGTTATCATATTCAAATTCTCGTTGTGTAATAGTCACTAGGACAAACAGAGTTCAAGGTGTCCAATATCGTTTTTACGAGCTAGTATAAACAAATTTGATTTCTTTGTGCTCGCTTCTTGATTGCAAGGTATAGGTTCCTGATCTTCGGTAAACTTCTGCGTAGCTCATCCCGCCACTCGACTGTCGTAGCTTTGGTTGACTCCAAAAGGAGTATTGCTGGGATTAATTATATGTGGTTTGTAGTATGAGGTATGTTAAGACTGTTACTACTGTGAGTGGAGTTGATCCTTTCGCCAGTTAGTCCTCCGGTATCGTCGTCAAAAGAAAAGAGATAACAATAACAGATATAATTAGTGAAGTTATTCAGACTAAGAGACAGAAAAAGAAATAAGAAAACGTAACAACAGTCAGCTGATTAAATTTGAAGAATAATATGAATAATATATATATATATATATACCAGTAATAATGATAATAATAAGTGTAGTTAAAGTTGTCAGGAGATTAAGGCGGGAGATAATGTAAAGAAGCAAATCGACAAGTTTAATTGTCTACCCCTGAATGGTGTATGCTATTTTAAGGGGATAGGCCATTTGGATGCAGTCCTTGTGTCACTGCGTGGTTGTCCAGCCTTCACTTAAAGGCGTCCGCAGACGGTGCCATAACTACATCTGCCGGTAGGGAATTCCAGGGACGGCAAACTCGCAGTGAATAGAAGATGGAGAGCACCCGGCTCCTTGCCCTCTGGTGAGCTATCGTTCTAGGATTACCTAATTTATTCAGCCTTTCATCATATGGTTTATTTCGAAGACCAACCACTCCTTTTGTTGCCCGTCGTTGGACTCTTTCCAAGAGGTTGGCGTCTTTTCTAAACATTGGGGGTGCAATAATATTTTGCACCTCAAGGTGTGGTCTGACGTATATTTTGTACAACTTTAGAAAGAGCTCAGGAGTGAGTGCACCTAACTGTCTATGTGTCAACAATGGTTTTACTCTTCATGTGTTCATCGTACATTTAATATCCCTAATAAAACTGAAATAAAATTCTATAAATTAAATGTCTGATGAAGGGAAACTAAGAGAGTGAAATCTAGTTTCACCACTGACAACGTATACATCAATTACCAATAATTTCAACGATGACACCTCATTTTAATAATAATAAGCTAGAAAACGGACCTTTGAACAACCTTATCATTAAAACAAGTGGACGGGGTGGCTGCGGGCTCCTCATTGGGTCCCATTCTGGCTGATTTCTTTCTAAATAATAATTTATATTTCATATAAGCGGCTAAGTTCGCATGAAATGCATGCCGTTTAACAGGCACAGTCAGTTGTGTTATAGATTACAATCCTGAAGTAACATAAATCAATACTTTTTCAAAAGTTTAAATTGTCCAATTACTGTACGATCAATCAGAATAGGTTCTTATAAATCTTAAATTGTAAACTCTTCACTAAGGTTACCATGAAAGTTGAGCGAAAACCCATACTTCGTTTCCTGTTGATAGTTACAAGAAAGAGGTGGAGACTCCTTGGAATGATAGTAGGTATCTCCAATGTTAAATGCCAACCATATAGGTCTGAGCATGTAAACTATGATGTTTTCGATGAAAACGTAGCTTCGTTCAAACATTGCCAGCGACGAATACGAACAAAACAGTAAGTAGATGGCAGGAACAAAAGCAATTTTTATAATTTAGATCTGTACGACGGTTATTGATTTTGTTAAGAATCTAAACCCATGTCTGATTTTGGAGCGGTCGAAAAATGCATGTTGCTGTCCTACAGATAGAAGTGACCCACATTTATAACTACTACTATGTCTGCATGCACTACGTTTCCTCCATTAAATCACCTAGATTCATCTAGAGATGGCTTCATCCGGTGTATTAAGTCCGTTGTGGATTCATTAACCTTATTCTCAACGGTGTCTACTGGTTTCTTAGTTTCCTCATATATTATGTAGCGGTAGGTAATTCCCCAGATTTATTGGCCACAGAATTCATCAGCGAACGTTGGATGCTGAAGTTAAAGTCAACTTGTTTAGCTGAAGGCTTCCGGTCAAGCATTTACGCCATTTGGTAGGCTGTCTTGTCACGTTCGTTCGTTCATGCCTGATCCTTAGCTTAACATATTTATTTTCGACTGCACTTGTCTAATATGATCGTGCCTGTAAAAACGGTATGTGAATCATGTAAATGCTTAATTTATGTGAAATATATATTATTAAATAAAAATTGTCCAATCGCTTCCGCGGAAGCAGTATATATACAACATATAGAATAAACAAAGTTATCAGGCATTTTAGGAAATTAATAACAGTATTATAGGTTCAGTGAGTATATATATGTTTATGAGTGTCACAATGTGTCTCGCGTTTGAATTATGCCAAATGGTAGTGGAGCAAACGGTAGAAAAAGTATTCCTATATGGCAATAAATTTACAATATCACTGGTTCAATTCTCTTCTACGTCTGAGTCCGCACGTTCCACGCATGTATCATAGATTTTCAAGGAGCCTTGAATGGCTGAGATGCAGAGGCGTGAAATGTCGAAGGAGGTGAAAAAGAGTCTCCGAGGGTATTTTGCAGAGAGTTGACTGATCATCCCTCGATAAGAGATTACAACAGGAGTTTGCATGGTTCTTTGAACTGTATGTCCCATTGTAGACAGGAATCGTTTACATGCAGCAACCATCTTTGGAGCTCCGTATTTTGACATCTTCGACGCATGGCTGATGTAAATGTAGGCGTCGCTGCGGATTGTTACGTCGAGAATGTATGCCACACCGTTTAACGGGATAATCATATCTGGTTGACAGAAAGACGTGGGCGTTGGAACACGCGGCTAGATGTAAAATCTAGTATTGGATTTGCGGAGTTTGTTGGCGATCAGCTTGAGGACGCCGTTGTGTCTCTTGCATCTGACCTCATGAGTAAGAGCCCAATGCTGAAGAATATATCGAAGATTTTCTGGCTGACCACACCCGCCTCGGCAGTTGATGTCGACGTCCCGCGTATGTCTCATTTTTGTGCCCAAGAGTCCTCCACGCATTTGAACGGCCCGAACATAGAGTTTGGGCAAGACCGTTTCAGGGTTAAGAAGCCATTTGTGAGATTCAGGACGTGTTGTTGATTCGGTCAAACCATAACCATCCGCTGATGAGTGTAGCTGTTGTGCCCAGTTTTCATGTGCTTCTTCTGCTTATGTTACTATTTGTCTGTGGGCTTGCATCGGAAGATCGCAGATTCTAAGGAAAGGCGTGAAGGTGGCGGGGGACGCTATGCTGCGTTTGAGCGGATTCCCATTGTTGGGCAATGCCTCGATTCTTTTGCGCCTATGGCTCGGAATCGCTGCTGAGAGATTCATTATTCCCAGGCTTCCCTTTTTGATATTAGCGTGGAAAAATGCAGTCAAAGTGTCCTATGGGAGGTGAAGCCAGTGACGGACAGCTGCACGAATAAGTTTGTCCATCGTTGTCAGGGTATTCTTGTGAGTGATGCCGAGAGTCAGTGAGTAGAGTAGACGAGGAATCATACTGTTCTTCAGGATTTTAATTCGTCGAAACGGTTTGAGGGGGGCGCGTTTCACATTGTTTAAGTATTCATTGAGGACGCCCACATGATCAAGGCAGCGCCTGTCTTTGTAATTGAAGGGAACACCCAGATAGGTAAATTCCTCTGTTGGCGAGATGGCTGGAATTGACTGGCAGTTGATTTTGAAGATAGTTCGAGAAAGAGCCATGGTTTTACGCTGTCTGTCAGCGACTATGTTGATTGTACGGCTTTTGTTGACGTTGATCGATAATCCCGCAAGCTCCAGCGAGGCGGCTGAGTTTGTTTTGAAGAGCCGCAGCGTTTGGAGCTAGGGTGATGAGATCATCAGCATATGCTATGTAGTGCAAGGGATGACCACCGATGTAGATGGGGTCGCGGGCTTCAAGAACATTGACTATCTCATCCATAGTCATGATGAAGAGAAGCAGTGACAGAGGGTCAGAGGGAAGCTGACAGGGGTGAAGGTAGAAAGAGTGTTTAGATACCTAGCCAGACTAGTGTGGTTAATTTTCTGGAGGTCCCTAGCAGTTATGCAGTCAACACCGGCCGCGGTTTACACCATTTCTTTTATTGCCCATTTGATCTCTCCAGTTGAAACCGGTGCGATCAGTTCATTATTAGTTGGAAGGTATTTCTGGACCGGTCTAGTGTCTGGTAGGGCTGGCCGCGTGAAGGTTTCTATCCAGAATTCATTGAAGCCCCCTTTAGCGGAAGGCTGGCATGTAAACGGGTCTCTCCACCTGCCATCAAGTACCGTGTTCGCAGCATCTTTTGGCAAACAGTGGAAGAGCGTTTGCATGTGGAAATATAAAATGCAACGCTTCTTCTTGTTGTTTAAGTTTGATGGGAGACTAGAGAAGCATCGCTGCTTGGATGGTTTCCATCTTGTAGGGAACAGCTGCTGGGGCCTGCTTATCCAGAAGTTGACGTGTCTCCTCAAGAGTAATATCATTCGCATATAGTTGCATGACAATTTGTCGGGTGGATTCAGTGTCCAGCCGCTGAGATGAATTTGCCAGTTGTGTGTTTAAGGGCAGCCATGGGGTTAGCATGTATATTGTCCGTGTGGAGGTTTCTGTGGAGTGTCATATTCACTAGGGGAGTTAAACCATCTTGAGTGAGTCGAGTAGTTGGCATAGTTTGTCGATGAGCTTCGTGTTCAAAGCTTGGAGTGGGTGATGAAGTTCGCTTGGGCGAGAAGGCGTTGATAGTATAAGTTGGAACCGATTCGTCAATATCAATAGTATCCAGAAGTGGTCGGATCATTGACACAGCAGTGGGAGAATATAAAATTGTTCTGCTGACGGTACTTATTGCATAGTGGTACTGCGGTATTTGCATTGACTGGGTGGATTCATCGAATACGGTGTAATCAATAATGATGGCGAATTGGAGGGTTCGCTGTTCCTTCAGCTGAGTCGGCGTATTCAATGA